CTGCAGACGTAATACATGTTTGATGTTGAGCTGCAGGTTCACCACTTGTTTGACTTCACTCACACACAAAAATGCGCTCCCTCAAACAGAGACACACAAACGCCTGCAAAAAAATATAAAAGTGAAGATAGTATCTCCACAGTTACAGATTCTGTCTGGCAGTGGCTTGTGTTTATCCTCCCAGATTCCAGCAGGGTTTACAGTAAGGGATGTTTTGACACACACGGGTCACTGGGTAAGCAGTGAGAGGGAGGTGGCAGGTGGGGGGTGGGGGGGTGGGGGGGGAGGGGGGGTGGACATAAAAACTATCGTTAACCCAGTCCTCTGCATCGCTGCCCTGATCTCCCCTTGGCAGCGTGTGACTCAGGCTGCTGATAGACGCCGTCCCGCTGCAGCTCAGCTGTAAACGAGGCCTGAAAAGGCCGTTTCCGCTCGCTTATCTCCGAGTGTGTGACTGTTTACGTTGGCACTCCTGAGCCGGGTGTGTTTGATCATATCATGAGAGTGCAGCAGGTGGTAAACACACACACACACACACGCACACACACACACACACACGCACATTTGCTTGTTGTAACTTTCTGGGTTATCAACAGAAGGTGGAGTATTGACATCCTCTGTAATGATTGCACACAATCAGTATGAGTCACAAAGCTAACAGAAGAAGGTTGAGGGGTGTGTGTGTGTGTGGGGGGGGGGGGGGGGGGGGGGTGACTGGTTTATCATTCACTTGTTGAAAAACACAACCTTGATGGTTTCATGTCAGGGCACAATCTTGTTGTGTTACCATGACAACCTGTCACTCAGGATGCTCTGCATACCATAGCACTTCCAGCTGCTTTACCACACACACACACAAACACACCAGCCGCAAACACACACATTTTCATATCACTGATGAATGTTTGGAAGTGGGTTCTTCCTGCGACAGGACTTCACACTCAGCTCCACACACAAACACACACACAATGATAAGGCCCCACGTTTGTTTTGTTTTCTTTTTCCTCTGAACCCTGCTGTTTATTTGTTAGATTCCTCTAGAGAGGGGGGGGGGGAGTTGGGTGAGCGAGGGAAGACACCTTTCTCACAGTCATGTCTGAATCCAACTCTAAATCTAAATCTAACATCACACCTAACGAGACTGGTCCCATCAGAAAAACTAGACTCCTAAGACTCCTCACGGTTGTATCCCTCCGCCAACCTGCCAAGTTGTAGGAAACATGGTCACAATCTTCCTGAGTTACAGCACTGAATAATGGAATAAATGTTTTTTTCAGAGCATTATGATATCACTGTGAAGCTGACCTTTGACCTTTTGGATATAAAATGTCATCACTGACATTTGACTCAAATTGTGTCAAAGTTAGTGTATGAATTGAGCCCAAGTGAAAGTTTGTGTCAGATGAAAAGAGATTCCCTGATGTACATTCACAACAGCATGAGGTCACGTGACCTTCTCTGTCCGTGGGTTTCGACACAGACAGTAACAACACAGGTGATGTTAATTAAAGGACTGTGATGACTCAGGTGTAATTATGGTTTCACTGTATTGAAGTATCTCACAAGACAGTGAGTCGACACTAACGATATCAGGATCCTGTTATTAATTACACCTGCACTGACATGTGAGAGTGTCAGCTGTGAAAAAGGCCCATTGACTTTGATGTAGATCCCCCCCGCTGTATCACCTGTTCACCTAGTTGTGTTGTTTGGTCAAACTTTTACAACTTCCATTTCAAATCTAGCAGAAACTTCAACATTTCCAAAGATGCAACATATTTGTATCTTGTAGTCTTTCTCATCTTTACTGGCAAAAGATGGAGGAAGTATGTGTGTAAAATCACACACACACACATCTAGAATTTGTCCTTGATTTGAAGCCTTTTTTAAGCTTTTTAATTAAAAGAAAATTTAAAGAGAAAACCCAGAAAGTTGAAGAGGTCAGACGTCATTTATCTCTCAAGCAAACTGCCAAAAAAAAGTGATTTTCATTTCAGTTTTTTCCATTTGTTGAAATGAATTTAAATCTACACTAAAGACTCATTTTCATAAACTTGCATTTCTTCATTAATTGGTCTTTTAGTTTTTTGTACTTTGTAACATCGTTTATGTGCTAAACACATAACATTTTTATTTTTCACGTTTCATTGTGACTCACTGATCTCAAAAAGTTGAAGATTTATTGAGAATATTTAAACAAGCTTCAGTTACAGCTGTTTCTGCCACCCGACGTCAAACTCACTGTACAAACTTTGTGAGAATTAAATTCCATGTGTAATCTACACACAATGAACAGTATCTGCTCTCTCGACACACACACACACACACACACACACACACACACACACACTGACTCTGCCGTCATGTTTTTCTGGCAGCAGACGTGTTCATAACATCAGCGTGAGGCTCCCTCTAAACAACATGGCTGGACTCCGGCTGACATTGACCCCAATGTTGCTACGAACGTCTTACATCAGCTACTCTGTTTTTCTACTGTTATGTAACTTTATAGCTGAGTTTGATGGCCTCTCCATATGCACCGTGTGTGTGTGTGTGTGTGTGTGTGTGCATTGTCGAAAATGAGGACAGGAAGGGTGCACTTACTCCTGGAGACATGTCCCCGCTGGCTTTATTTTTATAATCATAATACGTCAATATCATCGCAGTGCAAACACTTAGTATAAAATATCATCTTTAACAAAATTTACATTCACATAAAACATCTCAATAAATACAATAAATCTTTAACCAAAAAAAACTTGACAAATATCTGATCATTCATAATATATCTCTGAAAAAGACTCTACAATGTACAATAATAGCTAGTAATACCTACATATAACAATTGAAACCCGTATCATACAGTATGAAAATATCCAATTTACAGGAAAAATATTGTACATAAGTCCAGTCCATCAACTTTCCATCAACGGTTTAAAGCAAGTGTATAAAAATCCTCATTTTTAACCTTTTAGAATCTTAAAGTTAAGCATTCCAGCTACTATATAGACTTAAATCTATTTCAAACATGATAAGAAGTACAATAACATTTCAATCAGGTTATGGTGTCCAAATAAATCTCTCCAAAATCAAACACTTGCCAATATTTTGAGTTACAAAACTGTCAAGGAACAAGCTCAAACAGTAAAAATACAGGCATTCAAAGTAAAAGGAAAAATCCACAATAACTGCAGCCACACATTCAGTTGTGCTGCAGCTCAACACGAAAAAAGTTTTGATATGTTTATGAAAATAGGTTGGCACATTTGATAAACCAGCTACCTGTTGACTACAGCAGGAGCGAGGAGGAGGAGGAGGAGGAGGAGGAGGAGGAAGGAGGAAGGAACCCCCCTGCCCTCCACCCCCGGCCTGATGTCAAACTATCCTGAAAATATGTCCTTGAAAAAGGTTCGCACACCAAGCTCATGAAGAAGACACGGGTCAAAAAAGCACCTTACATTCAAGAGGACCGCGACCTTTACAGCGCATGCATGAGGACAACATTACAACAGAGTCACTGCGTGTCCGCCGCTCGGCCTTGTGTTCATGTTTCTTCAAAAGCATGCATGTAGGAGCCACAGGCTTGCAGGCAGTGCATGCTAGAACAGATTAGAGGAGAGATAATGGCCGTGGTTAGCCGCGCTGTGAGTAGCATGCTATACCAATAGAATAAATCATCTGGGTTTGTGTGAGGAAGCCAGATAAGGAGGTTTGGGTGTCTCCTCATGAACAGCACATTTCTTTTTCTTCTACCAAAGCAGCTTTTAGTTCATAAAAATAGTCGAACAGAATATTTTAACGATAGAAAATATTTTTTAATAAACAAGCACGCAGAAAAAAGTTTCTCTTTTTTTTTCTTTTTTTTTTTTTTTAAATCTAACTCCGTGAGGAAGGAATCACCCTCGCCCGATTACAAAAAAAAAAAAAAAAAATTCTAAGGCATGCTTCAACTCCACAGAGATACAGACTGGTGTGGCTAGCTATGCACACTCTATTGGCTACATACACTATCAGGTCAAAAATAGGATCCAGCTGGCTAGAGCATGCAAGGAGGCTGAGAGAGGAGACAAACCGCTTTATTGCTACACTTTGACGAGGAAGAATCTGGAAGTCAAGCATCACAGGGAAACAGACAGCAAACATGACTGAAATGCAGCAGTGGCATCATGCACTTAAAGACGCCGAGCGGCTCGGCTCAGGGGAATCATGTGCCGTTAAGAGGGTTTCAGCGAAAAGGGGGGCAAGAAGTGTAGTATATGTATCACTGACCTGGAAATGATCGAAGGCAAAGCCCTGTCGTGTTTTGGCAAGTTTAACACCTTTAACCGCCATTTTACAATTAAACATTTGGCTTCATCTGCTTTAAACACAGGGAGAGCATCGCCCCCTGTGATTAACTCGTCTGAATTGGTGTCTGATAAATCGATAAAGGATAAAAAAAAAAAAAAAAAAAAAAAAGGAAAAAAAAACAAAAAACCACATGGCAAGAACTCATTGTGAGGAGTGGTCGCTAAGGCAACAGCACTGATTTGGTTTTGTACTGAGAGAAAAGGGTCGGTGTAAGTTGCGAGAGGGATTTACAGATGTGTTTGAGGCTTTCGTGCTACACGATCAATTGTGCATTTCGATGTGGTTTTATTTTAATGCTGATTTTCATTTTTTTTTTCGTTTTGGGCGTCGACTTGGGTGTCGATCCTGGAGACGTCCTTGGCCTGTGATTGATTACAGAGCAACTTGGCTGAAGCGTCCTGTATCCTGTTCATGAAACAACAAACAGGGCTCAAGTGAGGAAGGAGGGGCTGATCAAGGCCGCCGTGTTCAGTCCTGGCCTCCCATTGGACGATCAGTGTCTCCACCTCTCTGTGCTGCACAGACAGTAGAAGAAGAGCAGAGACTGAGAGCAACTTTTCCTCTCTAAAATAATCTCTCTATTTGTGGTATTTCCCCCACCTCCACTGTCATTTTCTTGTTTTCCACGGTCGCTATGGAGACAGCATCCATCACACCATCGCCGTGGGGACAGAGGGCAGGTACCTGGTGGTGCTGGTGGAGGTGGTTGGCTTGGCCACGCTCGGGCTCGACGTCCTGATGGTGGTGTAGGTGGTGATGGTGGGGGCAGGGCTCAGCCTAGTGCACACACTGCCGTGGGTGAACGCGCTCGACCGGCGCTCGGTGATGCCGGGCTGCTGCTGCTGGGTGTGAGACAGCCTGCCACCTTGTCTGCGCCCCTCCAGAAAGTAGGTGAGCATCTGACCTTTGCCCTTTACACTGACCTGGCCACGGCAGACAAAGTTGTACTGGTCTGTGATGAGGCGGTAAACGTCTTCTGTCACCTGGACAGGAAACACAGATGTATGACATTAATCATGATGTTCATGAACAAAAAAACATTTTCACTTATTTTGAATGTAAAGATAATAATTTTGCAATATTGTAATTTTACTTGGAAAATTTCATATCCATAAGGAAAAATGTCTTAAATTAATTCCCTCATTTAAATTGTTTCTATTTGATCTTTAACGTCACTTTGTCTCTCAAATTTGTAACAAACATGAAGTCCATGTCAGCAGTTAATATCTACTCTGAAATGTTTGTCTGAAGAAGTCTGTCACTTAAAATATGTCTCTGTCATTTACAAAATTCCAGTTTTTCTGAATTAATGAGATAACTATGTTGTTAATTCAGAAAACAGGATTTAAAAAAATAAATAAATAAAAAATAAAATTCCTGCTCTGTTCCTGAATTAAGGAGATTATTATGTTGTTAATTCTGAAAAAACTTTAAAGTAAAGAAAAATCCTGTTTTTCTTTATTAATGACAAAATTATCTCGTTAATTCAGATTCAGCAGATTTTTTCCTTTAGTGAATGTATTACACTTCCATAAAGAACTGATATGTCACTGAACTGAACATTTTCAATGAAAAAAAAGACACCTGTGTTGAATCAGAGATTGTGTCTCTGGGTGGTAAAAAAAAAAACAGTTGAACATACTGGGAAATATGATTATGTTTGTGCATTAAAGGAACAGTTTGATCTTTTGAGAAATATTTTTCGTATCTGATCTTATAGATGATAAGATTGACTCTATATGGTAAATATATGACAGGTGATTAGCTTAGCTTAGCATAAAGAGAGGAAGCAAGGGGAAACAGCTAGCCTGGCTCTGTTCAAAGTTAAAAACTATGATTACCAACATCTCTAACTAACTAACTAACACAACATATCTCATTTCATTTAACATGATCATAAATGTAAATATTAAAACAACAATTTGTGGTTTTAGTTGGAGTTATGAGACCGTAGTTTATTTATCCTCATCTCCTGCTACAGCAGGGGATCTAGGATTCGGTCAGCACAGGTTTTGGTTTTGGTCTCTGCATAGTTACAATGCTACCAAACCTGATCACTTCCCTATGGTTGTATCCCTCCGCCAACCAGTCAAGTTACAGGAAATATGGTCACAGTCTCTCCTTCTGCTCCTGAGTTACAGTGTTGAATAATAGCCGGACATTATGATGTCACAGTGAACTTGACCTTTGACCATTAGGATATAAAATGTCATCACTTCATTTCATCCTGTTAGAAATTTGAGTTAAACTGTGTCATAATGAATGAATGAATTCTTGAGTTACGGCCAAAAATGGTTTTGCGAGGTCACAGTGAGCAGCAAATTTTAATCAGTTTGTCCAAGTGAATGTTTGAACCAAAGTGGAAGAAATTTCCTCATGAAATAAAAATACTTTCAGCAAAACGAGTAAGCGAGATGTAAGGTGTTAATTAAATAACTTTAACGCTGCAGACAGGTGTATTTTTGGACAGAGCCAGGCTAGCTGTTTTCCCCTGCTTCCAGTCTTTTTGCTAAGCTAGGCTAATCCCCTCCCAGATCCAACAAGATGCAACTTATTTTTATTCAAAAACCTCTTTGTGCACCTCAAGTGGATTCTTCTCTATGCTCTTTCGTTATGTGTTATGTGCTGATTTTTTCATGATGCAGTTTTCATTTTGTCCTCTTAACCAGGTCTGTCTTGACGAAAGGTCTTAAAAAGCAGAAGAAGAAGAAGAAGACAGGCGAAGGGTGAGTGCAGTGGTGTACCTGTATCTTTCCTTGTACTCCGGTGCTGTCCATCCTGCTCGCTACGTTCACTGTGTTTCCCCAGATATCGTACTGAGGCCGTCTGGCTCCAATCACTCCTGCCACCACTGGGCCCACGTTGATACCTGGAATGAGAGCAACGAGAGACTCCACATTATCTGATACCAGGTAACACCATGACCAGAATCAACAATACTGAGAGTGACTAATGTACCATCACGGGGGGGAAAGTTTCATGTCATGATTTATGAGGTGAATGCATCATTAACTCTGTGTTTTGCTACATTTGGGATTTCTCTTTTCTCTGTTTATTACTAAATCATCTCCACGTTAAAACACAGGACCATTTTTATTCCTGCACGCCAGCGACAGCCAGAGCTGGAGGCCATATTGTTTTTTGGTTGTCCATCCGTCCATACGTCTGTCCCATTCTCGTGGACACAATATATCTCAGTAACACCTTGACAGAACTTCTTTAAGTTTAGCACAAAGACTCACTTGGACTCAAGGATGAAGTGATTCGATTTTGGTGGTCAAAGGTCAAAGGTCAAGGTCAGTATGACCAGGGGATGTAACTTGAAACTAGTCTGAGTGGCGAAGGCATAACAACCACAAGTCAGTGATTCTAGTTTTATCATAAACTAGAATTTCAGGTTACATCCCTGTTTATCCAGAGTCGTATAAAATATGAACCATTTGTGTGAAATTTTGTCATAATTGCTGAGCAGTCTTGGGTTACGGCTAAAAAGTGTTTTCTGAGGTCACTGTGGACTTGACCTTTGAACTTTGACCACCAAAATCCTAAAAACGTACGTACAGACAGACAGACGGACGGACGGACAACCCGAAAACAATATACCTCCAGCTCTGACTGTCACCGGCACGGAGGAATCATTAGAAAGTGTCATGGGTAAAATCTCTGAACCAGCAAGGTGATCACTGCACACCCGCAACGTGTTCTAGGCTGAGACCTTTTTTTTTTATTTTTGGAATTGATCCTATTGATGCTGATATTGATAAGACTTAGTATTGGTAGTATCGAGACTGTAGATATTGATCCACCTGCTCCTACATCAGTGGCTTCTGTTGCAAAAGAAGTCAAACAATATCACTAATTACACCACTTTGATGACGAGTCGCTGAAAACCTAAAAGGTATTGCTTCATCTTTACAGCCGCAGTTCTGGAGGTCTGGCACATGTGGGCCAAGCCTGACCCGGGTTTGTTTTTCTGTGCTTTCTGGAAACATCGTCTTACGCAAATTACCAAAAATTGTGTTTTCTGCAAAGTGGGTTCAGTGGAGCGGACAAACATTCACAGTTTTTTACACATGGAGCCCCACAGCCTGCAGACAGGATGGCACTGTGTACACCAGGTTACACTGGGATTAAACAAGGGCTCCCGTCGCAGGCTCCCCACAGGATACCCAACACAATGGAACCCAGAACTTCAGGTCTCGCTGTGACGAGCTTCCTGGAGGGGAGCGCTCTTTCTGTGATGCATTTCCTACCACACTTACTGGCACTGAGCGTCGACACTGTCCAGTGCAATAGGTCAAAGACGCGCTTGACACCGATGTTTATAAAGACCAATGTGTGTGTCTTTTCACTTACCCACTCTCAGGACAAAGTCGTTGTAAGACTGGTAGTTGATGGCGTCCAGGACGTCAAACATCTCGATGGCGAAGTCTGACACGGTGCATAAATGTGAGGTGATGGACTTCTTCACCTGAGAATCAGCAATACACACAAATACCAAGAACACAGTGAGGCAGGGAGCCATGTTAGCCCCCGTTTCATGATTATTCCCATTTTTATCAACGCCCGCCACAAAAGCACACACCGGGGGGGTTTTCCCTACAGTCAAACCGCCACTGTGACTGACTGGTGGAGTTTATTTTGCGTAGAAGTTCTGCAGAAAAAGTTGCAGAAAGACCTCTTTTGTTAGTCAGCTTTGCGGTATTTAAATAAACTTTATGAATGCAGAATATGCTGACGCCACGGGGGCTGGTAATCCCTCACAGAGGATTTGTGGAAAGCGAAATGTAACAGTGTTGGAAATATCAACACCCAGACAATGACTACCTGGAAATGCTAGGCCGCTCAAAAATGCTGTGTGCATTCTGAACTGTTTCAAAACGCACTAATGCGCTGCAAACACATACACACACACACAAACACACACACACACAAACAAAACTCATAAAGGATCTAAATATAGCCGCTGCATGTGTACCTTGGAGGCAGTTGTAGGAACCAGCCCTACTGCAGCCATGTATGTGCTGCCAATGGTCTTGATTTTCTCAATATCCCTGTAGCACTCTTTATCCATCAGCTGGAGGGAAAGAGAAGAAAAGAGGGATGAAAACAGGAGGAAAACATTACTACTATAACATATTTCAGTAAACTGTCAGTTGAAGTTCATACATTTTATAGGCTGTGTTGGCAAATGCAATTTAAAACAGACTATTTTAGCGCGTTTGAGTAAATTAATGCTTTACGTTGCTGATTATAGATTCACACAGGCCAAAAGTCATCTGTGAGTTATTCCCCATTTTGAAAAACTTTCCCAACCGTGACCAATGCTTATTATCCTGCATCAATAAACACTGTATTTTCTAAACCCTCAGTCTTTGAAAGTGACATTACGGACGTCACGTTGCACCAGAGCTTCACCTCCAGCGTCTCCACAGGCAGAGCAGCCAGACACGAAACCTAAAAAGATTTACGAGGCGTTTCACTCACCTCGTCAAAGTCGGCGATGATCTCATTGAGCAGCCTCAGACACTCGACTCCCATGTTGTTCCCGTCCAGCTCGATGTAGAAGTCGTTGAAGTTGGCGATGGAGGCAAACAAGACTCCGACCTGAGCGTAGGACTGGTAGTACAGGTCCTGGAGGAGGAGGTTTAGTTGCTTTAGCAGTGTAAGAAAAAAAGAGCTCAAGGAACGCTGCTTTGTGAAGCACAAAAAAAGTCATTAAAGGTTCAGTTCACCCAAATCGCAAATAAACGTTTGAGCGTGAAAGTACTGGAAACAAAATGTGTGTAACAAAATAATCTATGGTGTTTTTTAGTCTGGTTAAACTGAACCCTGGTTCATTTCACCCCAATTCGTTTGGGTACGTGTGAAAACAGTAATCACACTCGGGCGCGGACCAAACCAATCGTACTGAGACCCTTTCGAGGAGGTGGTCTCGGTCCGGTCCAAAGCAAACTGTGGAGCGGTTCGTTTTTGGTGTGAAACAGTTCTGATCCGACCCCACTAGAAGGTGAACTCACAAGTTTGAGCTAGATGTTCACTTCCTTGCTCCAGCCAGACAATCTGACCAATCACATGAGGGAACGTTCTCACCTGGTTTGTAGTGATGCATTTTGGCTCACTTAAATTCTTCTCTGTGTGAAAACAAACCGAAACCAACTGGACCCCTCACACACGGAGGGGTTTGGAGGATTTGCTGTTGTACCGTGTGACCTAAGTTCCACACTTGCACCTCCTCAACTGACCACGGCATGGTTTTGCAAGTTACCATGATAAGAGTACAGAGCAATAACTAATAGAAAATGTAACAGGCTGCAGTCGCTTGGCTTTTTAAAACTGGCGGGTTTGTTCAGAAACGTCCCGTCTTGCACAATGGTGATGCAGCAGTGATCATTCTCTCTGACCAATCAGCAGTCTGCGGCATTTTCACATCACCTCAGTGTTGCGACCTGGAAATATTTGGGACAGATTTTATATATTTATATAATAGATAAAGCATGTACAGGAAAATATAATTTAATTACATTTTTGTCCATTATCCAAATACTATTTCTATTCTGCTTTATGTGGGTGTATAACAGTTTGGAGACATCAGTCTGTGCCAAGGTGTGTCGCAATCTGTTTTGGTTGAGTAGAGTGGGGTGAATTCTTACAGGTGGTTGCGATGTGAGCTCCGCTGCATCTTGAAAAAAAAGGCTGTTACTGTAGGTGATGTATGTGATGACACCTGAACCAACTCCAACTGCTGATGAAGACAATGAGATACTGTTAAAAGCTGCAGAAAGCTAGAGCGTTGGAGCCAGAGGCATATTGTTTTCAGGTTGTCTGTCAATAAGCACATACGTCTACACCTTGACAGAACGTCTTTAAATCTGGCAAAAACATTCACTAGGACTCAAGGATAAACTGATTAGATTTTTGGGGTCAAAGGTCAAAGGTCAAAGGTCAAGATCACGGTGACCTCACCAAATGCCGTTTTGGCCTTAAGAACGGAATATCTCTGTAACATCTTGAGGGCATTTCTTCAAATTCGGTAAAAAAAAAAGTTCACCTGGACTGAAGTGCAAACTGATTAGATTTTGCTGGCTAAAGGTCAAAGGTCAAGATCACGGTGACCTCACAAAACATGATTTTGGCCTCGTGAATGCAATATCTCCAGAACTCCTCAAGGGAATGCCTTCAAATTTGGCACAAACATGAAAAGAAAAAAACTTTATAACCTTAACTCAAGACTTCAGTAGACTTTAAATCACTCTGGATAAACAGGGATGTAACCTGAAACTAGTCTGCGTATCACTGCGAGGTGGTAATCGTAGTTTTCTCAAGTTCTGAGATGTTTGTCTTTGAGATTTCTGCCTCCAAACCAAACACAAAGGACATGAATGGAATTTCTGTAGTGGTCACAACATTAAAAATTTAAATCTCTTTCCAGAAAGAGTGTGTTGATCCACAGACTTCAGTGTGAACAGTTGTCGTTTGAACTACTTTCTCCGGAGGAAACAGTCCCTTAAAAAGATTTTCTGTGGATTACCCCGAGTGACAGGGAAACTGTTGTAGGAAAAATGCATTACTGTTGAATTTCATTTTTCACTGTTATAATCAGGTTCACTGCGTTGGCACCAGTGCACTCAGCACACATGATCTCTGCTCATGTGAGGTCTTGACTCTTTATTGGATATAAGTAACTTCTGCTGAAAGTCCCCAAATGACATTAGTCCAAAACAATTTTGCTTTGCCTTTAAAACCAGTGTTTCAGCTGCAGTTTCTCTTCAGGTCAGTCAATCATGTATTTGTTTATTTGTTTTGTTTAAACCTACTCAGGAAGTTATGCCTGTGTGCACTGGACCTATATTATGCACCCAAGTTCCAACTGTGATGTGGAGATTTACTGTATACGATAATTCTTGAAATGATAACTTACACTGTGTCCTCCTTATGAATTTGCATGTGTTTTCATACAGAGTTACACTTCATTTTACATGGGATGCTACTGGTTCTAAGTTGTGGTGTCGTTCCGAAATATAACATAAGGATATAAAAGGACCGCAGAGCACTGGGAACTTTCAGGTTCCATTTTAAGCCTGCGTGGGGTGGCTGCAGAAATCTCTAAAACCTTGAACAAATAAAACCAAAACTATGGCTATAAGTGAGAAATATATATGTATATATTTTTAAACATGTATGAAATGATGCCGGGCAAACAATAAAAACAAGAAATGGAGCTGGCAATGAGGATGGACGTTCTGCTCATCACCTTAAACAGTTACTGATGTGCTGTAGTGAAATAAAGAGCTGTAAACTTGCAGGTAAATTGCAGGTTTTTTTCAGTGGTTATGTTGGAGCAGTGAAACTTTGAATTCCAGGCAGCAGAGTCCCACTGCGTTGTGTTATGAATACAGTGTATGGGTGAACTTTAGCCCAGAGGAAAGAGAGGAAGCTTTTCTATACACTGTCGCTCCGTGGGGTCACCAATGTGCCGGAAACATACTTCCTGTCCCCAGTGTTTACTAGTCTGAGCCTCAGATGATCACTGCATCGTCTGATGCACAGCCCCCTGATTGTTGGAGGATAGGAACAACTTTATCTTTTTTTTTTTTTTTTTATTGCTAAAGAAAACCATGAAAAGAGCAAAACCAACAATTAATTTAACCGACTAACCAGCACTGTCAGTGTGGCCACATCCTGTACATATATACTGTATGTAGTTGTAGGATAACTGCATTACCCTGTCATTGAACGTCACTGTCATTAGAAATAGACACACTGCTAAATCTGGGTGATAGAAAACACAGTCCTGGAGATGTTTTAGAAGAAACTAAAGTTGTGTTTTTATTAGTTTCTGAATGATAATGGACTTCTTTTTGTTTTGTTTGTTGTTTGTTTATAGTAATGAAAATATGAAACAGTGCTGTTGTTATGTTTGAAGCAGTTATTCATCTCAAACAAAATTAAAGGGACGCTCCACCAGTTTTACTGGTGAAGATCATTAGTACCACAATGCTCAGTTGTGTAACGTCCTCTGTGTCTGTTGTGAGTCATCAGGGTTATTTGGGTTTTGGATTGTAGACTGTAAATCATTAACAAACTGGGGCATGGAGTTTAAAAAATGGGGGCATTCACCTGGCATACAGGGTCTAATGTAAAACAGCTGTCAAGCTGCATTATGGGAAATGTAGGAACCAGTATTTTTGGAGCTTAGCACAGACTTCTGGACATTTCAGCCTCTAAATTAAACTTAAACTCTGGTCTCAGTGTCCCCTTTTACATCTGCTGGGTATTTATTGTTGTATATTAGTCAAACCTCTTTGGGTTTAAAAGGTTCTTGCAGCTCTTAAATGATTTTAAATTAACATGCTAAATAGACTCATTTCTGGCTTTGCAACATCAAAGCTGTGTCCTAATGATTTTGTAGTTTTGTTCTGTTTACTCACAAACATTGAAAAGTCAATTATACAATCAGCATCCCAATGAACATGAGCCTTTATGACACGAGATGACAAAATGTCCTGCTTTTTTATCTATCTTAAAGTGGTAATAAAGACTTTGGTCTCTACACAATAACATACAGAACCATACATATGTGCATATGTATATATGTATATGTATATTCTATATGCAACAGGAGATAAAAAATAAAGAAGAAAAATAAGGGAGTTTGTCACATTTTCTTGCTGTTTAATGGAAACATTTGTAATAAAAAGACTAAAAATAACGCAAATGTTAGCATGAAATGTCTAAATATAAACATTGAGATGTGAATTTACTTCAACTTTCTTTGTTTGAAAATGGCTCCTGATTGTATATTTTACTGGTAATGGGCCGTCAGCTCCATCATATTTAATGTTTCTGTTCATATATAAATATAAATATAAATATAAATACATTTGTGGCTTGGAGTCAGTGTGCAGGTATTACATTTTCCATTCATACAGTGTATAAATAGACTCATAACATTTACATTAGATTAGATTTGGACACTAACATTTCCATACTTTTAGTGTGTGCACACAGCTTTACTGTTTACAAACCAAGCCTGTCCTCGTGAGGGGCTTATGCATTTCCTGATTCGCAGGCCAAAGAAAGGATGTATGTTTTCATCACTTCCTGAGGAGGGGGTGAGTGGGGTGGGGGTAGGTGTGGGGGGTGGTGGGGGCCAAGGAAGGAACAGAGATCAGTGGAGGGGATGTTCATCAATCAGTGGATACAGACAGCTCACACTTCCATTTTAACACCACAACACATGGTCGGGGAAGCGGAACCATTGTCCCCAACAGAGGGGATATTTTCCCACATTGAGAACCAAACACAGCACAGACACAGAGAGGATTACGCTGGTATGCACAGGTCAAACATGAAGCCTGTACCCTGCTTCACTTTTAATCAGCAACTATCCACTTATACTTCCTCAGCTTCACCAAGCTGCTTCACACCAGCTAATAAGCACTGATTTGGTAAATTATGGGTCAAAAGACGAGCTGAGGTCAAACCGGGCTACACGTGGTTGAGAATGACAGATCTTTAGGCCTCCAGATTCACGGCGTGATGAGCTGATGAGCTGTGATCAGCTGACAAGTCCCCACCGGAAAAGGTGGGACTAATCAAAAATAACAATCTGCATGGGCTGTCCCTGTAACAGCAATCTCAGCTTCTGACATTACACGTCACAACTTTTGAACAGAACTTTATCACCTGTGAGACCCAGACAATCAAAACTTTACCTCCAGCTGCTGACAGAAATCTGAAGAGATCGGTTATTTAACAAATCTACATCTGTGTGCACGACAACAACACGTTTTAATGAGGAATCTGCCATTGATTATGGCTAACATATTTCATGAAGGCAGCAGGAGATACAGATGTTAAAAGTAAAAGCAGTATAGAGTTAGTTATCTCAACTGGAAGCACTTAAGTACTTGTATAATACTTTTATACTGTTCTTATAGGGAACATATCTGAACTTAATGTACTTGGAATCTAAAAGTTTTAACGTCAGTATCCTGTGATATTTCTCTGTCACCAGGATTCAAATGTGACTTTATCCACATTTATCTTAGTTTTAATTCATGACATAGCAACATACATTATGTAATACATTATGTTTTTCCTTTGCATCAGTAATCAGTGCATTATCACCGTGGAAGCAGAAGCCATAGAGTAAATATGACATTTCAAGTTTCAACATGCAGTTAAGACTTGCTTTTAATTGAAATATGGTCTTTTAAGAGCTGTTGATATCAATAGCTATAATTCATTTAGCACACGTCAGGGTGAATCTAAGAAGTCAGGAGATCATAAGTCATGCAAAAAACATCATTTGGCTATTTCATTTTTTTTTCAGATCCTTTCATCCCCTTAAACCCAGGCAGCAGGTCTGGAATTAGTGTTCCTCTATATAAATATATATACGTAAGACTTATATTAGCAGAATATTACTAGAAAAATACCACATCACAAAAAGACAAAAAATTCTTCTGTTGCTGTTTTCAGACTTTTCTCCATTTTTTGTTGTAAAAAATTAATATTATTTAAAATTATTCAAAATAAACAAACTGAAAAAAGAAAAATCTGTATGATTGAACTTCTCTCAATTAACAGACAAGTAAACATAAAAAAAAAACAGTGGGAACCAGCTGATCTAGATGTTTAAAAAACTGTCACTTTTCAGAGGTCTGGACGTTTTTTTGACCTATAAATCACCAAACCAGCACTTCCTGTTTTGAGCCCTGTTGGAAAAGCCTGGACACGACGGTGGGATTCTCACCATGTTCCTGGGGTTGGACATGAGGAAGTGTTGAGCCACATGTGCCGGCAGCAAGTTGAACAGGATCCTCTTGTTGTCCAGCTTCACCTTCTCCATGTCGTCTCGCTCCTCCTCCGCCTGGACACGACACACAGGTGGAGAGGGAGGAGGTGAGCGCTCGCACAGTGATATGGATGCAGAGACAAAGTGAAACTGATGCTCCATCGTGGAAACACAATAAACCTTTGTTGTAGCTCAAAGCTAAATGGGAGATGTAATTGCTCATCCTTATCACTAGAGGGAGATAATGATTTGCAAACAAGACAAACGTTCACTGTCATTCTTAAAATAGAAACACTTTCATGATCCACTGAAACTGTACAAGACTGTGCATGTAAACACACAATTACACAACACACGCACACACACACACACACACACACAGAAGAATTGCTTCATATATCAAGAAAATGTCAGCCTAAAACTGAATCTAATTTAAAAAATTTGCCAGTGCAATAATATTTCAACCTGTTCCCGTCAGAGATCCCCATGTTGAGAGAATTTTTATTAGATGGTTTGAATATTTTTCTCTGAATAACCTTTTGTTAAGACATCAGAGCAAGGTGAAAATACACATAGATATTACAAATAAATAAATAAACACATTAAAAAACACAATTTGACATAAACAGTACTTATATTTAGATATTATTTAAGATTCTCACCCATTTGCATTCACACTATTGTACACACGTACCATTAAAAACAATAATAGTAATAATAATAATGATAATATAAAGACTAACCCGTGTATACACTCATACAACATCTGGACTGATGCTGTAGCTAGATCTAAACCGGGACATTAATGCTGAATAGTCATCTGTATTACAGCACACGTTGGTACTAAAGTGAAATGGAACAATCTGGGTGTCAGTGTCTTGCTCAAGGACACTTTGACATGTAAACATCAGGAGAGGGTGATAAAACCATCAACCTTCAACCTGCTCTGGTAACTAAGATGCTGCTGCCTCCCACATAAACAAACCAATTACAGCTGAACACTGTTGTTGAGTACTGACTTAACTTTTAACTGGCAGATGTGGGGAATCAAACCCCCACGCCTACAGCCAATGCAAAGCAGACGCTTTTGTACAAAACAACTTCCTGCACAAAACAGCAGCGATTTAGTGTTTAGTTCAAGAGCGCGAGGACACTGTGACATGTAGCTCTGAGGCAGCAGCGACTGAAGTACAAAACCCTACAAATAAGATAAACTGTTCCTTCATGTTATGTAACTTAAATAAAGACAAAAATAACTTGATAAGAAGATTTTTTTTTTTTTTTGGAATTGCAGAAGCGCTCTCTGGATGTAGAAATACAAACGCTTGTGTTCCCATGATGTTTTTTTGATCACAACTGGAGCTGAAAAAAAATCCTCTGATGACAATATATTGCCTAACATGTTTGTGTCTGTATCTGGAAATGAGAAAGAATAAAGCCGGATTCCAGGAACTCTGGAAAAAACCTGGTCTTGGGCCCCAGTTGACCCCCACTATACATTACATGACAGTTTTATTGCGTCCCCAGACACCAGCCAGTACTCAAGTGCAATTTTGGTGACTGAATAATTAATATTTTAAGCAAAAACACCGACATACAGTACCGGCTTCTCAAGTGTTAATATAAAATGAAAATCTCATCAGATAACACAGACCCCAACATTATAGAGTAAACCTGGGGCATTTGGGGCCTCTGGAGGTGTGGGGCTCCTGGGCAGTTGCCTGCTTTTGCCTGGTTGGTAATCCAGCCTTGGGCAGATTGTTTCACTTACTAGATTCAAGAAAAAATCCTTGAGATAAGATGATCTGTACGATAACAGGTGAAATATTTTTTTATCTACATCAATGCAAGTTCAGTATCTTGCTCAAGGATACTTCCTTCCTTCCGACTGAGCTCCTGCCACCTCAACATACATCACAGTACTGTCACATCCAGAGTAACTTCCTCACACATCAGGAGCTATTTGGGATTGCCATGCTGCCACCACAGATAAAATGACCACATAAGAGGGAGTTCTGGATGTAGAAATACAAGGACACATAAGCAGTGACAGGTATGTGCTGAATGTACAAACACACACATACCTGAGTCGCCCAGAGATAGTCGAGCCGCAGCTTCAGGTCCAGTTGTCTTGAATGAAGAGCCAGAGCTCCACAAAACAACAAGACTGCCAGCACAGGGTCATAACCTCGCGTGTGCAGAAAACCACCACTGGAAGACACACACAGAAACAACATGGAAGGTTTTTATTAGTAAATTATACATGGATAACTGTGTAATGAAGACAAGAAAGCAGCTCACTGAATGGAAAATTACAAAACAAGAAATTCCATTCATGAATTTCCCCTATCTATCTATCTATCTATCTATCTATCTATCTATCTATCTATCTATCTATCTATCTATCTATCTATCTATCTATCTATCTACTTTACATTAGAGCTACAATGATTAGTCAATTAATCGATTAGTCAGTGCACAGAATTCATTTTTTTAAGCAATAAAAGTTAAACACTTGCCGGTTTTTGCTTCTTAAATGTGAAAATGTTATGATTTTCTTTGTCATATACGACAGGAAACTGAATATCTTTGGGTTCTGGACAATGGGTCAAACGAAACAAAACATTTTCAGATGTCACCAAGGGATGTGGGAAATTATAATGGCCATTTTTGCTGTTTGACATTTTATAGACAAAACAATTAATCAACTAATCAAAAAATTAATCAGCAGATTGATCGATAATGAAAATAACGGCTAGCTGCAGTCTTACTGCACGCAGATGAACAAATTTGACCACATACATGTATCTTTTGCATATTAAACAACACATCACTTGCAGCTCAGCCTCACCCCACAGCTTGGCGATAGCCGCTGGTCTCCATGACGACGGTGTAGGTGACGGAGAGGAGGAGGAGCAGGAGGATCTTGGGGAGCGAGGACACTCGGAGGTAGGGGACGATGGTGAGGGTGCCGGCCACGCAGGACAACAAGGCGTACGCCATGTTGGGACAAGCTCTGTCCACCGCCGTGCTGTTGGAGGGTCCGACGCCGAGCATGTCTGCAGGGATGTCCTCCACAGAGCGGCTGGAGTTTATCTCAACTTTGCCCCAAGGAACACATCCAACCTAGAGGAACGGATGAAATGAATAAAATTAAGTGAGCCATCAATATATGTAATCATTTATGATAATCTAATTAATTTTACAAATAAAAATGTGTCTTAACTGAAGCTAGGAGCGGTTAGTGCTGAAACGACTAGTTGAGTAATCACTTGATCCATCAACAAAATGAGTATTTAACAACTTTATGTCATTAATCAGGTAACAAGACAAAAGCAACTATATACAGTAGACAGATGCTGCCCCGTCTTTATGCTAAGCTAAGCTAATCATATCCTGTCATTGGTTGACAGGTCATTGTCACAGGTCACGTGAAGTCATTAGTTTTTCAGGTGTTTAGTCAAATAAACTTATGACCTGATGATGGCGCTACATGCTAATGGATCAACAGTATTGTTACGTTTTCATCCTGAGCAGGAAGTGTTTCACAGAAATCAATGTTAGCATGCTAAAGAGCTAAGCTAAGTGTTGTGAGTATGTTAGCACGCTGATGTTAGCATGTAGCTCAAAGCACCACTGTACCTTTAATAATCAAAGGCTGTAGCTAGCAGAGTCATCCAGTCACTACTGTACATTCCTGCTGCTACACCTCTACACTGTTGTATTTTGCACATACAATAGTCACATATATACACACACACACACACGCACGCACGCACGCACGCACGCACGCACGCACGCACGCACACACACACACACACACACACGCATAGGCTACACAGACATTAGATCCTGACTGAGTTCTGGGGCTGATGCTGACACCAGCCAATTTGCATTTGAAATATTTTAATGGGTATTTTACACTTGAACAATGAGTGTGGTATTCTTCAGAGACTCTGCAGCCCCATCTGCTCTGCTGTGATGTGTTATCTGCCAACTCGATGTGCTGCAGAGACTTGTAAACCATATAGTCTGCTGGATGAACAATGGAATGATGACTGTTTCTCGCTCAACTCACTCAAGTGCTTTTTCCTGTATTATCAACTCTATTCTTTTATTGTCATTGTTTTTATACAAGTGTTTAAGACATTATAATTTAACCCCCTCTATTTGGTATATTTAGGTCATAATATTACTTTGTGACGCTCAATAAAATATTTACATGCACACAACCTAGAAAGCAGGATAACACACTTTTAAGGGTTTTTTTTGGATCATTTTATCACACTGTGAATTATTTTGAACCGGTTTTGAATGATATTGTTCTCTACAAATAAACTTCAACTTCAGTTTAAATTGTTATATTAAAAAAAGCTACCGGTTGGGACCAACACACAGACTTACCACACAGGCCTGGGTGACAGAGTAGGTGAGCAGAACGAGGAACACACACAGCACTGTTCGGATCTGGATGGTGAGGCAGCCTGGTTGGCACTAAAACCAGAGGAAAGAAACGGGGGAGGTGGGAGGGGGAGGATTGGAATAGAACGAGTCAGTAAATGAAGCACCTGTTTATCTACCTCAATAGCGTTTTTGGACACATCATTAGCCAGGAGTGGAAATGAAATGAGGACATTTTGTGGCGTCACTCATTATGCAAAGGCCTATTAGCGGAGACGCTTAAAGGATATGATGACAGTTCAATGTAGCATGATACCACAGTGTCATATAGAGGGTATGAACGTGATGTCAGAGCGCATGGCCGTCATCACCGTCACTCCCACCTAACTGACGAGTAACAGTTGACATCTGCAGTCCAGAATTCACAGAGAAAACTACTTGTCCTCAGCTTACGTGCAATATTTCAGTCCTCAGACTTTTATCAGATAAAAGTGATATAAGCAAACAGCCCCGGTACCATATACTGCACAGGTAAACAGCCCCTGTAAGAGTTTATGACCCAACGTTGACTGCAGTGCAAAAACCTTATAGTAATGGTTATACTGCTGTTCAGGAGGTTCAGGTTAACATTATTTTACAACCCACTGGAGGTTGTTCACTGAACAAGCACAACGTTTTCTGAATGAGACAAATTTATTTACAAATCTGTGCACAGAAAAGCAGCATATTCTTATAAATGTCCTCATGATTTTCAAGGTGAAAAATCCATTAATACCACTTTTATGTCTGCGTGCTGAATATGAAGCTTGAGCCAGCAGGTGATGAGCTTTAGCTTAAAGACTGGAAGCAGGGGGAAAGAGCTAGCTCGGCTCTGTCCAAAGATGTTTATTGAGCTTCACAGGTGCTGGTAGGTGGAATTTGTCAGCTGATACCCTGTCTTTATGCTAAGCTAACCTCCTGCTGGCTCTGGCTTCATATCTTAAACCCAGGTATGACAGTGGTGACAACCTTCTCATCTTAACTCTCAACATGAAAGCTTATCTCCAAAAATGTCAGTAGTCCTTAAAAATACGGACATTTATTCAGTGTGACATATAGAGATAAACAACCATTCACACTACGGGCATTTAGAGTCATCATTTAACCTGCATGTCTTTGGATTGTGAGAAGTAGCCGGAGAACCCGGAGGAAACAAAAAGTCCAAACAGACCCCAGTCAGCGGGTAGGTTCAAACCCCAGAACCAGACAAAAATTTATCAATTACGTGGAAAATTTCAATTTCCACAGACCACTGACTGTCCAGGAACTTCTAAGAATCTTTGTTTCTCATATTTGTCTTTACTTTTTTCCAGCGATATCTGTTTGAACAAGGGGGTAATAATGTGAAAAAGTGGAATCAGTGCATTCCCTCTATCCAGAGGAGACCAGTTTCCGAGGAGACGCCTGCTGGGAGAGGCCTGGGAGTCCTACCTGAATGCTGGTGAGATGCAGGTACATGACACAGGCCACGTGGAAACACACACACAGCACCAGCAGCAGCAGCACCAGCATCCCCCTGAGAGACGAGAGGAGAGACCAGAGTGAGAAGGGCTTTCCCGGTTTTCCACTGACTGCAGTGAAAACACCTTCCTGTCTAATTGTCTCACTGCAGCCTGGCAAGATCGATCCAATTATGCTACATGAATGGACAGACTGCAAATGTGGAAGAGTGTGTGTGTGTGTGTGGGTGTGTGTGTGTGTGTGAACTTACTGTGGGATCATTAGCAGATAGATAAGGCCAAACAGAGCAGCAAGGATCAGAGAGAGAACCACCGCACTGATGAAATGGTCGTCATACACTTGGTGATACTAACACAGGACAGAACAGAGAGAAAATGTCATGGTAAGAAGCATGTGTCCATCCACCCCCTCACATGTTTATCTGGGTCCAGGTCTCTGCAGAGTCAGTCAAATATCCTTTTCCAGGGACAATCTTGACCCTGCTTGTTAGTGTGGCTATTCCTACATAGCTAACGTTAGCATTAACAGCTGATTACTTACCAGTCTTAGAGCGAGAGCTTCAGCCATTGTTGCGTTTACAATACAAGAGGTTTTAATACGTGCTCTGAGCAGCTACTTCTCCAGGGAAGACTGGAGGCTACAGTGACAAGATGCTCCAACCGGGCCGGGGCTAGCCGGTTAGCATGCCAACTTCAGTAGAAGAAAGGAAGTGATTGAAATGTTTCTTCTAGACTTGCAAGTAAACAGCTGTTAATGCTAATATTTGCTATGTAGCAACAGCTAAACTTACAATGGCTGCATGGTTTTAAGTATGACATTACCATGTGTTTTTGTTTTCGTTTTGAGCCCAGCTATGATCAGAAGTTGGATCAAACTCCTTTTTCTTGACACTCAGGCCAGTCTAACACACTTTAGAGGTTTGGGAGTTGTGTTGTGTTGTTCTCTTGCAAAACTCTTTTTTTGTAGACTTTTCTTTGTTTACCTGCAGAGACGTTGTCCCAAGTACGTTGACTTTCTTAATGCACCCTTCAATGGCAATTTCATGAAAGACCAGTGAGGTGTCCCCAGGCTTGTTCGGATACAGAATCCCTGCAAACGACAGCTACAAACCTGGATATTTTGGTTATCGATCCTCTCTCTGAGGGTGAGCCCAGATATCCCATGAAGCGAGCTAATTTCAATAGTTCGTATCAATGACCTTATCCTTCTGGTTGGTGCTGAAAGCTCCTGAACCACAGGTGACGTCTGGAGTGTAGATGGAGTTTCACCTTTAGACCCACCTGACTGTCACTAATTCCTAAGTCTTACCCTTGTGAACGAGACCCAAAGATACTGAACTCCTTCACTTCGGCGTCGCAACTGATTTACTGTGTGAGAGGAAGTTAACAAAAAAGGACAAAGGGATGGTGACTCTCTAATCATGAAGTACTACAAACCAACTTTCATGGTCCCAGGAAGGTTAGAAAAGCTGTGCAGTAAATTATACTTCGAGGGAGAAGAGGAAACCGGGTAATCTTGTCTTTTGCCGACCTTAGTAGTTTCGGTCCTCACCTGGCTGCAGCGTTGTACAGATAGCAGGCTAACATTGCTCATTTAAAATTTGCTGTAGCATGGTAACAAGATGTGTTCACTTTAATCTCAATCTGCAGCTGAATCTCATTAAATCTGGTCACTGAGTTAGTTTTAGATGTACAGTATCTTGTCGTAAAGTAGAGGAAACAGAAGATTAAAAAGTTTACATAAACTATAAATGTTTGTATTGAATTTAATTGTGATCAATTCCCACATTAATTGTCACAATATTTCACGACCCAAGGAGAGTTGATGAACCAAGGAACCGAAACAACCGACATCACCGGAGCCATTTGCAGGGATGATGGGAAATATTGAAACGCAGTCTATATAACATGACATTAATTTTATGTCTTTACGTTGTTTAAAAGCAGATCTCACCACACACCACAGACATGACTGGGTTTTTTTTGTTTTTTTGTTTTTTTGCTGTTCGCCCCCAGTTGCCTCCAAATTCACACAGCAGACTAGAGACGGCAGCTTCATCCCACAAACCAACCCGCACAAGCACAAGTTAATTTATGTGAGCACAATATTGTAAGTAATCAAATTTCAAAAAAGCAACTGACACACATTGAACCTTGGCCTCCCGGGTGTTATAATCCACCTTCAATCACAGTCCTAGAAGTTGTTTTTTTTTTTGTTTTTTTTTCTGCGAGAGATAAGAGTTTTCCAGAGTAAATGACGTTGTGTTTTGCATCTACATCTTTCAGGTTTGCTTATCCTGAAGAAGCTGGATATCCTGTAAGAATGCTTATGCACTTGCTCCAAAAAAATAATCTTTTTCTCCTGCATCAATAAATAATAACTTCTAAAGATCTGGTGTGCAGTTGGATATGAATTTGTTGAACAGTGATGTGTCCTGAACTCTCCCAGCACCCTATAAAAGAAATCCTTTTACTGTAGTTGTGTGGGAGTAAATAAACTCTTTATACTAATTTGTCTTTATTTTAATTTTTTTCTGCTGGAGGCATTTTCCTCAACAATGAAATGTCTGAAACACAATTAACTGGTTTTTACTTTGTATGGGGTATTTAATTCTTCTGCTACCAGTTTGAATGTCTGGATTGCTCACACATACTGACACACACACACACACACACACACACAAATCCATCTCTGTTCTGTGTCTCCTTTATGGCTCAACCCACGCACACATAGGAGAAAGATGTCACGTGTGCCGCTCAGACGTTCCCAAATCATTATCTGCACCCCCTCCTGAGAGGGTGGGTGGATTTCTCTCTCTCTCTCTCTCTCTCACACACACACACACACACACACACACACACACACACACACACACACACACACACACACACACACATCAGAGACAACACACGTGGGAGAGAGGGAGAAAGGGGAGACAGAGAATTAGAGACTGTGTAGGGTGTGTGTATGTGAGAGTAAGACAGAGGGGAGGTGTGTGTGTGTGAGTGTGTGTTGGGTGGGGGGGGTGCAGTCACGACACATGTTACCTTACATGTAATGAGGAAAGTATATACTGTATTTGTTCTGTTTTGTATCTGTTTGTAAATAAAAATCCAAGTCACTGGCTTCTGCAGATGTTTGTGTGCAGTGTGTGTGTGTGTGTGTGTGTGTGTGTGTGTGTGTGTGTGTGTGTGTGTGTGTGTGTGTGTGTGTGTGTGTGCGTCCTCACCCTGCGCTCCCTGTCTCTGCTCTTGTAGAACAGGGTGATGTAGTTGAGGTCTGATGTCTCCGACTCAGTCTGCCGCGCCTCGATGAGCCGCCCGATGTAGCGGTTGACCCGTGTTCCCGGCGAGTGCTGCACGGCGGTGGCTGAGAAGGACGTCCGGTTCCTCAGCTTCTCTGACGCAGTGCGCAGGGCTCTCCGCTGTCGAGACGCCAAAACAGGCAACACAATCAGTCTCTGCAGAGGCCGGCCAGTCTGATGTGACTGGTCATCATTGTATGTGGTGAAGCATATGAATGTAGACTTTTGTGGGCTGAGCACTGAGGAGTGTAAGACTTTGTTGTAACTTTACTTTAAATTTCTGGCCCAACATATGCCTGGGTCCTCGGCCCGAGTCTGGCCCATATACTTCCACATCTGAGCAGATTCTGGCTGTTATCCTCCAGTATTGTCTGACAGCCACAAGATTTCATGTATGTGCACCAGAGTTGGACCAGATTTGGAAGTAGCATCTGACAATCGTGCCGTATATGGGCCAGATTTGGGCCATGGAACCGGGTGTGTACAGGGCCAGAATCAAAACGAGCCTGTGGACCAGATTTATTTTGCTTTCTGGGAACCACCCTGTTCTGGCCCTGTGAGGCTGTACTGCTCCTCACACACCAGAAAACTAAACTGTTAGATCAAAGAAGGAGAGGAAACTTTGCTCTTCTTAGATTTTTATTTAACGCTTCAACTTCACTGTGCTTTACACGAGATGAGCAGGGATACACACATGCACTAAATACGTATAACACATATAAACTAATATAAACTAACTACAAACTAACATATAGACTTAGAGTCCACAGCAACATTAGCAGCTCTGTAAGAAAGTATAAACCAACTACACTGGACTAAGCCTGCAATGAAATTATGGGAAGAGGGAAGCTGAATCAAAGAGTAAAAAATAAACAACCACAACTGTAAGAAAGGAAATAAAAATATGTTTTAAATTACTTAATCTAAATCTAAATTACTTAGATTCATCCGATCTGATGTTTTTATGCAAACTGCTGCACCGTCTTTTCTAACAGCTGGACAGATGTGAAGTCTGGGAGATTCCAACATAGTAAATTGCTTGTTTGGAAGATATTAGTGTGAAGACACAGTTTCAGATAAATTTAGGGTCCATCTCAGACTCAAGCTTCCCTGACATCATCTGACTTGACTCAATTTTATTCACCTACTGTATGTAAAGACCTGTTTTCACAGCTCACATTTGAGATGTAATTAATAACCTCATGGTGGTTCTGTTCCATTTAAGTGTCCCAGTAAGCCTGTCAGCACTCACATGACCAGGGCCTTGAGACAGGTAAACCTAAATGTAATGCAGCCTTGAATAATGTTGTTAATTACACCTGTGCTTTCCTTCTTTTAAAGTTGCTGTGAAACGATCTGCTCTGAAAAAGGCCTGGGGGGGTGGGGGCTCAGCCACACTTAGACGGGTCTCCATGAGTCTATCACGTTTGCATTTGAAGACCAACTGCGTCACAGCGGCGTAACTAGGATGTCCCATTTTGAAGGCTCCTTCAAATGCGTCCTTCTCCTGGGCAAGCTCCTGTTTTATTTTGAAATATCTCACCTGGTGTATGTTTATGGCTTATTTTACTTCCTGTCCCAGTGTGTTTGTGATTGTCTGCCCCGCCCCAATTAGTTGCACCTGCGTCTCATTATTCCCCCCCACCCCCCATCCCACCCCCAGTGTGTAATTAAATCACTTGTTTTCCCTTGTGATTCCTCGTGTTTCCGTTTCGTTTGTTTATGCACTTTGGATTCCTTGTCACCTGTTTGTGTCTCCCTCAAATTAAGAGTCTTGTCTTTTCATTGTTGAATAAGTCTTATCAGCTGTACCAGCTCTGCCTCTGAGTCTGCATTTGGGTCCTGAAATGTTCTATCCCTAACACAACTCGCATTTCAGCGTGCAAACTGTGCACAAGAATTATAAATTTGTGGGTGCGAATTATGAATTTTGCAAAGTTTGCGCTGTGTACAGACCATTCACGGACAGAGGCTTTTGGAGATGCAGGTGCATATTGAGCATGGCCTCCTGCATTGATAGAAAGTGGCAGTTCCTGAGTAATAAATAATGGTTGTCAGTTGGACATGACTTGAATGTGGTGGTAGTCCAGACAGTTGCAGCTCCTCTAGGTCAGTGGCTCTCAAAGTGGGGGCTTGGGATCCACAGTGGTCCTTGAGGGGGATCTCTGGGGGTCCCCAGCAAAAAGAAGAATAATTTTCATACCTCTGTGCCAAAGGTCACTGTGACTGCACAAAACACTTTTTAGCCGTTAGCCAAGACTTCATAATGCAATTATGACAAAATCTCACACAAATGGTTCATATTTTCTATGACTCTGGATGAACAGGAATGTCACCTGAAACTAATCTGAGTGGCGGAGGCAGACAACCGTGAGGCAGTGATTCTAGTTTTCACTATGATTCCTTCCATAAGTAACACAATGACAGAATAAATGACTATTTTGGTTCATGCGTTTCAAATACTTCCTGTAACATCTAAACATCTGAAAGCAAAACTCTTATCAGATGGGGGTCTGTGGTCTAATTTGTGTCAGTTTAGGGTCTATGATGTGAAAAAGTTTGAGAACCACTGCTCTAGCTCATTAAAATCTGAATCTTTCTTTCATCATCTTTCAGACGATTTTATATTCTTTGACCCAAACAATTTGCAGCGTCATAATTCTATTATGAAATTCCTGTGTCACAATGCTAGGATTTTGGCTACTTGGATAATCATGTAACAATGTGGCTAATGCTATTAGAAGAGATGATACCGGGCTGTGGGTGATTACCAGCAGTCATAATGCAACCTCATCAGAATCATGAAGTACTAATGCCTGGCCGAGCTCACACGGTCGGGCGGATTACAGCTAGCAGGCTATTTCCGACAGCTAGACCCTGTGATGCCACGACGCTGATCTCCAAACACCAAACCAGCAGCACTGCCACTGACTCACCGCTGCGTCACAGTGGTTTAACAAGTAAATATACTCACAGAGACAGTGAGCGACACATGAACAGGCACAAATCAATGCCCGTGCACATTTAAACGTCATTTGGCAGATACATACGCGCAGACATGTCAGCCCAGATATACACACACACACAGAAACACACACTCTGAGAGCTTAAGAGCAATGAGTTTAGATGAAAAGTTCCTCATAATATCTATTCCACTGGCTTACTTCTCAACAAGTAGTAGTCATGCAGGCATACTGTAGTGCTTATGATGCTGAAAATCTAGAAATCCAGATTACTGTTTTATGTGTGTGTGTGTGTGTGTGTGTGTGTGTGTGTGTGTGTGTGTGAGCCTGTGATTTTGTGTGTGTGTGTGTGTGTGTGTGTGTGCGTGTGTGTGTAGCAGATTAGGAATCCAAGCAGGATTTCGTCCATCACAAATGGACATACAAACCCATTAAAGGGATTTTTTTTTACTATGTAACCCAGAAATATTCACATCTACTCTGTACAGTAGTGTTGCACACATGCATGCAAGCATATGAAAGTCTCCTATTTCTACATCAAGAACCTGAAATACACAAATGTCACACACCTTGTCGTCGTCCTCACATGTCATGACGTTGGAGAAGGGGATCTCGGCCTTGAACATCTTCCTACAGTGCATGAGCTGTACCAGCAGGTAGCACACTGTCTTAAACTTCATCCTCTTGGCTGGTTTGATGTCAGACAGAATCAGACCTGGAAAGATCTGGAAAAAAAAGACAAAGACAATGAGATGAAACCGAAAGAAAGGAGGAACTAGAGGCTGCTGAGAGGTACAGAAAACATACAGACAACGAGCCGTCACGTCTTCTGTAACTTCGTCACGTCACTGCTTTTCCCTTGAATCTTTCTCTTTATGTTCTTCTCTTATGTTTAGCTTCTTACTTGGCATTCTGTATATTTCTTTTAGCTTTTATAACATACACAAAAAATGAACACAATGACCTGTAATACAGAAAAGAAAATTGGACTAAAATAAATAAATTAGATAAAAAAAAGGGGATCAGTTCAAACTAGTCAGAATAAATGGAAACACACCAACAAAAAAAAATCATATGTGTACAACACAAATCACTTCCTATTACTATTACTCTCTTGTACTTTAATATGTGCTGAATTACCATATAATGTTTGGCACGTTAGCATGTGTAGGCCTTTATTTAACAAGCTAACATGCTACGTTAGCATTAACCTTAAATCAAAGCCCCAGGTGATAGAAATTCAGCTATTTGTTTTTGAGGTAGTTGAACTTTGAACTCTTGACTTAGACAAGTAGAAACAGTCAAGACAAGTTTGGAAAAACCATGAATGTGTGCAACCAGGCTGATTTTGTATTAATTTCCACTCTCCAAAGCCTTGCTGATAATTCAGTATATTAAATTCCTTTCTAAAAACATTAAAACTTTAAAACTCATCATTTCTGACCTCTTTTTACCTCTAATCTTCCAGTTTATTTACTTCCAAAGGAGATTATTCAGGGACGGATGGAAGAAAAAAAAAAAAAAGCATGACAGGAGACATGATATGACATATTTTAAAACATGAGAGCATGAATATTAATGTGCTTTGAAGAATCATCTCATTCATGGAAAGAAAGTAGGCTTGAGTGGGATTTTTACAGTAAACTGTGAGTGTGCGACGTTTGAAAACCTGGATGTATCAAATGTTTATTTGTGTGTGTACTTGTGCGAGTGCATTTATCTGTGGATTTAAAATGCCATGACACACACACACACACTCACACACACACACTCTGATGCACATGTACAGTTGGTGTGAGATAGTGATACTAGCCATGTGTATGCCAGCTTAACACATGGCCTACCTCCCTGCCTGCATCAGAGGATTAACTGTTACAACACTGACAGATGTGTCACTTCTCTACTTGTACACTGGCTAGAGGAAGAGAGAGAAAATGCAAAAAAAAAAAAAGAAGAAAAAAAGACATCGTTCAGGCGTACTTTACGTCTGTGTGATGGCACAATGAAGAAAGTCTCTATGTGGTGTTTCTGGAGGAAGGCATGTCTCTCGTGTCCAAAGCCCGGCTCCACCTCGTAGTCCCCGTTCAAACACTCCAGGGTGGTCCTTGTGATGTGCACCTTGCTGAGAGCAGAGGACGAAAAGCAGTTAGTGATAAAAGTCAGGCACCGACATCTCAAATCATTATCCCCCTCATTATTTTTATCGGCCTGATAGCCCCTCAGCTTGCTCAAAATTCTTCACAGCAAAGAAATTTTCATCCAAACGACTCTTTTTATCTGGTAACGAGTCCTACAATCTTATTACTTAACTTGAAACAAGGACAAATTGAGCCAATGAGGTGACCTCATTCCACTGCTTTTTAAATGCAAACCAGCTTGTTACTGTAGATGAGTTTTCTTGAACGATGTGACATTAATTTAATGTTAGCAGTTGGCCTTATTTTTAGCTGCTTTTACTGTCCTTTTCAGGAAATTCATGAAACTGCATCAAAGCGAAATCATTTCATCCCAACTTTTTAAGATCACATATGAGCTGAGGTGACTTCTTCTTATAGCACATCACTATTTTATCCTTTTACTATTAATAAATTAAAGTATAGCCTGGTAGCCAAAACCTCATTTTTAGTGTTAGAGTTGGTTTACAGTCCTCTGTGCCAACTTCACTGTTGTACAAAAAATATTAAAAACACATTTCTTTGTTATGATGAGCAAGGCAAGTGCTGCTCATTCTACACACAACAGCCGCTGTGTGTGTGTGTGTGTGTGTGTGTGTGTGTGTGTGTGTGTGTGTGTGTGTGATCTGTGAAAAGTGCAGCATCTTGTTGGATGGATGTTCGTAGCTTTATGCTGATATTTTGATATATTTGACTGTTTATGAGAGATTTTGGGTCAGATCAGTGTTACAAGTTTGGAAACACGGCTGAAAACACTTGAGAATAAACCACAGGAAAGTGGTCTCAGACTTTTGGAGAAGACAAGCTCATAATTAAGAAAACTATCTAATAATTATGAGACATCGACTGAGGTAACAGATCTCATAATTACAAGATCCGTATCTAACAATTATGAGATGCAGATCTTGTAATTATGAGATCTTTTTCTTGTAATTGAGATGCTCAAGTCATGATTATAAACGTATTGTGCTTCTGTAGTATTTAATAGTTGAAAAAAATATATCCGTGACTAATAAGACAATAGAATAAAGTTATTGGTTTAGTCTTTTCAATTAATTTGTTATGTTTGTACTTTTTCAGATAAATTGGATTATTATTATATTATCTGTTTTTTACAAGACAGCATCAAATATGAAATAATGTCAAAAATATTGATAATGATGGACATTTGACAGTTCTATGAAAATGCATATTGTACCTACAGAACACATACAGAAACAGTGCATTCTCCATCTGCTATGATTTGATGCATACATCATAAAGCCTTATTCTGGCTCTGTTGCTGGGATACTGTATTTCTGAGCATGTGTGTGTTGTGTTTCTACTGTGACCAGTCAGAGTCCAGCTTCAGTGTGTGTGTGTGTGTGTGTGTCTGTGTGTGTCTGTGTGTGTAACAGTCAGTACTGACCCAGGCAGCCCCCCGGCTTCCATCACATTTGCCAGTGTGACATCGTTTGACCAGACGTCATACTGCCATTTCCTGAGGCCCAGCACGCCACACAGCACCCGTCCTGTGTGAAGACCGACACGCATGTTCAGATCCACCTCTGTCGCCTCCACCACTGACCTGCAGGAATGGGAGAGGGATACAAGATTAAACTCCAACTGCTCAAACGAAACCAAGAAAATTCGACGTCCACCAGAGGTCATCAAAAAAGTTGTTGACAGTTTGGCCACAGACCAAAGACACGGAGCTAGCTTGACTAGCAGCCGTTATCGCATCTATATATTGTTTTGTATATCTATTTCTTTTATTTTCGTGGGCGTGACCGTGTCGCGTAGACTTTGTCAGGCGGAGAGAACAGTACCCCTTTTTTTTGGATGCTGCGCATGCGCAATGAGCATAATTCTGTGATTTTTTTAAAGGGTGATCAGCTACAGCGAAAATATTTTTTTGTAAACTTTTATTGAAAGAAAAGTACCACTACCACAGGATAAAAATACTCCATGAGTACAAGAGTACAGCACCACACCAAAAGCACTTCCTGTAGTTACAGTTTCAAAGTAAAAGTACCTCTCGTACTTAAAAGCACCTCATATATTCAGAGTATCACAGTAAAAGTACCTCCTGTAGTTAAAGTATCATAGAAAAAGTGCTTCGTGTAGTTACATCATCACAGAAAAGTACTTCCCGTAGTTACAGTTTCAAAGTAAAAGCATTTAATGTATTCAGAGTATCACAGCAAAAACACCTTCTGTAATTACAGTATCAAAGAATAAGTACTTTGTGTATTTACAGCATCACAGAAAAGCACTTCCTGTAGTTGCAGTACCACAGTAAAATTACTTTTTTACAGTATTGCATTTTTTTTTTTTTACAATTTAAGTAGAAAGTGTACAACAATATATGGCTACAGCCAAAGGATGACGATACTAAAGTTAGCTTCCGATTCGTAGAACTTGCGTAATGAGCGTAAAGCGGCAGCTGTAGCAAGTAAACGATGGAGGTATACTCAAATTTATCAAATCTGTGCAAGAAGTTTGAGCCCGAATATTGTAAAGCATGTAGCTCCTTTGAGGAATAGCTCAGCACGTAGGTTGTGTATATAGCGGGCGAGAGAAAGAGAGAGCAATAAGGCTAGCAACCGGAGCAGAGAGTTAGCAGGTAGTAGTATGGCACTCAACATAGTGCGATGTATGTGCACTTAAGGCCGTTTGTGCTACAATCACAGCTACAACTCCTCACGACAAATGTTTGACTGCTAACATGCTAAACTAATATAGTGGACATGGTAAACATCAGCGTGTAAGCATTGAAAGTTCACTGCAACAATAGCATGCGGACGTTAGCATTACCTCAAAGCACTGCTGTACCCAAGTGCAACCTCACAGAGTTGCTAGCAGGGATATAGACTCTTAGCATTGTTATTCTCTTCTTAGGAACTACTTAACTTACTTGTGTGAACTCCTCGGGGATATACGTGCTCTCTAAGTGGTTTCCAATTCCCATTTCTTCTTCAAAAGAAAAGAACTCTTTCGAACTATATGGGAGAAAAGTTCTTCATTTTGACCAAATACAATAGTTTTAGTCAAGGTGGCAGAGGTCCTGGCTTGCTGACTTGCCTGTTTAGTGGTCGAAAGAAACATTGCAACTTTGTTCCAGACCAATGAAAATAACTCTGTAATGCATCCTCTGTGTCTATGTTCATGTAGATTTTACATGTGTAGATTTATGCATGTGCAGGTGCAGACCACCTTCTCATTGCTATGCTGTGGTGCACAGGAGATGAAGCAGGACTTTTCCAAAGCCTCTCCCACCCAGTAAATCACTACACGGAGCACCTCGTCAGCAGCGGGAGGTCAGACACTTCAGACGCCACAGATTCACGGAAGGAGCAGAGGAAGGAAATAGAGAGCGGTGGAGGGCTGACAAAGTGTGTGTTTGTGTTTGTGTTTACAGGGTGGCAGAAAAGAAAATGTGGTCCGTCCATCAGGCTGAAGGAGGGATGTTGCACACACCACACAAATACACACACACACGTGGAGGGATGAGTGTGTATGGCAGCACCTGGCCTCTGAGATAAAGGACTCCTACAGTGGCATCCATCCACTCAGACAGAGCAGCAGGGAAAGAACATGACAGACGAATGCTCACACAAGGAAACGAGGTAAAGGCTCTCTGTGTGCGTGTATGTGTCAACATGCTAGTGGGGGTATGGGTGGGAGTCCACATGTGTCTTTTATATTGTAAATATGTAACAAATTGAATTTGTCTTAGTTTGCAGACTCTATCTGTTGTCAATATTAAGACTTACATGGATATTTCCAACACAGCTTGGTTGTGTCTGAACAAAACAAAGTGATTTTTGCTGCCAAACTCCTCCTACATCCTATATTACTGTCACGTGTTCCGCATCAATGGTGACAGTCAGTTCTGTGACTGTGAGAGAAAGCTCAGTGTTGCAGAGACAATCTGTCAAATGACTAATGCTCAGTTTAGTTTAAGATTGTCCAGATCTCTCTTAAGAGCTGAAAACACAATCAAACATATTTGACGTGCAATTAGAAAGCACTCAAAGATATAATTAGTGACAGTTTAATAATGGTTTTTGGGCTCATCTAAATATCTTATCATAAATTCTGAAGGACTGGCCTTTAATTACCTTAGTCGCAGAGAGAACCAGGACTTTATTTGGAACAAGATTATAATACATACAGGTTTTTATTACAAACTCCTTTTTAATGCCAATTTAAAAACTCCCTAAATGTTTATCTTTTGTCTTTTCATTCATTAACTTACTTCCAATTGTGTTTTGCCATTAATGGAGCACAACGTTTTGTTTATTTTTTACATAAAAAGTCTTCCAACAGCTCAACAGACTTAATCCATCCTGTACTTGATAGTTTTTTAATGTGTAAAATCTGAAGGAAGTGTTGAGTTTCAGCGACAGTAGCTTAGCAGTGATAGAAAAAACAGCAAAGTAGAAGTGATGAAATAATAATACTAGGTGAGTGCTGTAACCATGTGAGCCATTATCACGGTTTAATAAACAAGAAATCCCTTCACTTCAGATGAGTCTTTACTCGATCACGTTCATGCAGTGAAACTTCTCGTGTTGACCTTTTACAGACATGTGAGTGTACAGATGCACATTATAGAGAAGATGTAGGTGTGTGGTTGTATATGTGTGTGACTCACGCAATCGTGTCAATCATGTCCAGGCCCATCTCCACGCAGCAGTGGGCGTGGTCAGCCTTGGGTTGGGTCAGTCCTGACACACAGTAGTAACAGTCCCCCAGGATCTTTATTCGCCTGCAGTGATTCTCCTGCAGAAACACAGACACGGACAGACGTCAGATTATATGAACTGGTGAACAAACTATATCAATGTGTTGCCACTGGTTACAGAGACAATAAGTGGGTTAGAGTGACAGCCATTGTTGAATTCCAGTTGTGTTTTGACATTGACTCTTTTCATAAAATAATGCTGAAGAAAATTCTCATCTGTCATCCAGCAGATGGTGACTAGGTTTAGATTATGTCCATTGTAAACAGCCTATTACACCATGAGAGGTAATGATAAGATTGACACCATAGTTGTGACAGTACGGTTTAAACTAGACAACCTCATTGTTTCTTTAACCCTTGCAATAACCACAGTGTTACAATGGCAATTTGTGGTTTTACACTGAGTTATGTGCATGACTAACAGACCATAACTATTCGCTATTAGCTTAACCAGTGCAATGTGTTTGTGTAGAAGACAAAATGGATGAAATATCTCTTCTCTTCTGTTGGTTGCTTATTGAACATTCCTATGGCGTTTTCATTTTTATTGCACTTACACTAAAGTTCAGTAATAGTTGTCATCAACTCCAGTAATCTTCAGTTATCTTTACTTCACCTGGTTTTGTGTCCAGCGCAGCCTCCCTGCTGCTGTTTTCTCCCTGTGTGTGTGTGTGTGTGTGTGTCTGTGTTTGTGTGTGTCTGTGTGTGTATATCTGTGTGCATGCTTGTGCGTGCGGGTGTACTGAGTGCAGCCCCGCCTCACCCAGAGAGTAGAGGACAGAGGAGCTGTGTGACCATAAATGATAAATAGAAAATAAATATATGGCAGTTAATAGTGATGGGCCGCATGGTGAGTAATCCCAGCAGGCCTAAACAGCCTACTATCAAGCAATTGTTGTATTTTACTGATTAAAAAAATATGCCATGGCCTGGTAGTTGTAGACCACTGTGTGATAGATCTGACAGTGCATTACGACCACTGTTGAAAAATAAAAGCAAATGGAAACTGAGATAGCATTATAGTTTTTCTTATCATTCTTTTTTTTTCTTTAATAAAGTGGCTCATACAGCTCGGACGTTTTCAAATTTTAACGCTTCTCAATTTACTAATTATGACGGCAACTTTTCTATTTCTTTCAACTTTTCTTCCGCAGATAAAAAGCTAAACTTGATGACTGATAAATAGTTTCTCTTGGGAAAGGAGCAAAAGTTCAGCAGAGTCTCACTGAAAACACTGTGGGAACTTAAGCATGACGTTCATCTGGTGACTGTTTCTATATTTAACAGCTGGGAGTTATTCACATTTTGCATTATAACTCCTGTTACATGAGATCTGAATGTACAAAACCTGCATGGATTCTGCAGCTGCATCTCTGCTCATGTAAATCAGATGTGTGTGCATGTGCAACCGTGTGTGTTTGTAGTTGAGGCCAACTCTAATTGCTCCGACATGCTCTTGAAGTAGAATCCCGCCCACACATTCCCAGACATATCAGCTATTTGTCACAGTGCACATTGTGCACAAACTCAGCAATGATGATACTAACAAACACATACACACACACCTTCAGGGATGCACACACTCACATACCTGGAAAAAAGCACAAACAGCTGCATGGTTACATGCAAACATACTGTACAGGTATTTTGCTTTAGTTACACACACACACACACACACACACACACACACAACACACACACACACACACACACTGACACATGCAGGGTTTCCATTTGGCACTGCATCACACACAGTCATCAGAAAATCGTAATGGTAGACCCTACAAAGCTTAGCCTGCAGGCAGCCTCTGAGTGACAAACACACACATTCACGCACACACAAACACACACACACACACACACACGCTCTCCATTTCTGTTCCTAGCGCTGGGATAATCATCCACGTTCTGAATTCTCATATCCTCCCACGCCAGAATCTTTCTGCTCCCGTGAGCAGAAAACCAGAACACCCCGTCTACTCTCTTCTCATCTCCGCCTCTTACCCTGCAGTTGTCATGAATCCTCTGTGTGTGTGTGTGTGTGTGTGTGTGTGTGTGTGTGTGTGTGTGTGTGTGTGTGTGTGTGTGTGTGTGTGTGTGTGTGTGTGTGTGTGTGAACAGAAATGAGAGAGAAATTATCAGCTGACAGCAAGCAATGTCTCAAGAGAAAGGTATCTGTGTTTGCTTTAGGAGACAAATTTGAGATTTCAAACCAGCTGACTGGAGACAGTTTGTCTAATTCGGGGGCAAAATCTGCGTCCACCAATGTGGTTTGACTCATTTTCATCTCCATTACAGTTAGGTTAAGTTTAGGGTTGAGTTAGGCGTGTGTCTGGTGTGGTTAAGTTTAGGTTGAGCCTCAGGGGAATAGATGTGTTGTGTAGCAAACAGCAGTCACCAGCTGTGACAGAGCCAGTTTGAAAGTGAATCTCTCCCTCGCTAAACATGACAGGGTATAAATCTCAATTAGGATGCAGCTGCAGCTACACACACACACACACACACACACACACACACACACACACACACACACACACACACACACACACACACACACACACACACACACACACACACACACACACACACACACACACAATACATCCTCATCACAAGATTTCCATATAATGGCTTACTGAGCGCTGGAGCACTGATAGCAAGCCACATATCACCTTGTATCTTGCTCTTCCTCTCCCTCTGTCTCTCTCCCTCTCCTGCGTTAAGCCATGACTGATTGCTGAGATGCAGAATGAACTCAAGAGGGATAATCCTGCTGATCATGTGATCTTTTGTGTGTGTGTGTGTGTGTGTGTGTGTGTGTGTGTGTGTGTGTGTGCGCGTGTGTGTGTGCATGCATGTTTATATGTGTGCATGTAGAAAGCAAGAGTAAACTGTCTGAAGAGATAACTTGGCCTGGTGGAGGACGAGGTCAGGCAGGTGGCAGACTGAGGGCCGAGTGTGAATGTGGTGTAACTGACTTTTTCGACACGACTGAGCTTTATATATTATTAGAAAGCTCTGTCTGAACTCTGTGACCTGAAACTCAAGGGAAGATCTGAGGTAAGTTTAGAGTGAAACCAGAATTACCACCTCACGGTTGTTTGCCTCCGCCCATCAGTCAAGATGCAGGGAATATGGTCAAGATCTCTCCTTCCTGAGTTACAGCTCATAATAAGAATAATAGCCAGACGTGTTTTTGCAGAACATTATGATGTCACAGTGAAGCTGTTCTTTGACCTTTTGGATATAAAATGTCATCACTTCATATTTTACTCTATTAGACATTTCTGTTACATTATGTCATGACCTTTGACCACCAAAATATCACCAGAAATTCCCTCCCTCCCTTCCTGATATATCGCGATCACAAGAATGGGATGGATGTGAGATCACAGTGACCTTGGCATTTGACCTTTGACCACCAAAATCTAATGAGTTCATCCTTAAGTTCAAGAAGAGAGACTGTTGTGTGAAATTAAATGTTTAGAAAATTGATCATTGAAATAGAAAGTAAATTATTATAAAAATGGTCAGAATGTAGACGAGCTGTATTCCGGCATTGCAAATCCTCTGTAGTAAAACACCTTCAGCATATAAACAAATACTCACAAACAGTTGTTGTTGAACAAGGTTAATGTGACTTCATCTTCAACTGTGTCACTACTTTTATCGTGTATTTCAAAGCTGCGTTCATGAAGTTTTGGCCACTGGGGGGGAGGAAGCTGATTGACACCTAATAAATCATCTTATAAACCTTGTACAGTTGTGATGGCCGGCGTGTTGACAAACAGTTAATGTGCAGTGAGGTGGTGTTACTGTGCTGTATGACTACTGACAGCAGTAGGGATAGAACTATGGCGATAAAAAATGATGAGTGAACAAGTGTGTGTGTGTGTGTGTGTGTGTGTGTGTGTGTGTGTGTGTGTGTGTGTGTGTGTGTGTGTGTGTGTGTGTGGCTGGTTCAGTATTAATATGATCACAGTAGTGTGGCGGCAGATAACCTATCACTCACCTAATCTTCTTTCCCAGAGACCAACGCTACACAGGCTTACTGACATAAAGTGTGTGCTACCATACACACACTCTCTTTATCAACTACAAGAGTCCCAATAGTGCGCGCGCACACACACACTCACACACACATACACACACACACACACACACACACACACACACACACAAACATAAAATCTCCACTTCCTCAGCCCTTATCTCCCCTCTGTCTAAAAAATCGGTTCACTCATCTCTCCCTCTCTCACCCTTCCAGTTCCTTCTCCTTCTTGACCTTCATCTCCTCCTCCTCCTCCTCTTACTCCGTGTCAGTCAGCCTCTCCAGCTTCACTTTCACTCTTCAATATATGGCTCGGCATAACAAATGAGCTCCAGGACTAAATAATACATTCCGTTTTCTTGGAAGCTTTTTGTGTTGCAGAGGAACAACAGGCTGAAACAGGAGCTCATCAACCTGCAGCCAGCCTGCCTGCCTCCCAGTCAGCTGACTGTGACGGCTCACTCACATTATTTCATAACAGAAGCTATGACTTAAATTCACTTACCTTACATATTGTACAGTTATCTCACTCGATACATCCCATTTTAGCTTATGACTTATAACTGATAAGTAACAAGAACTTGCAGTAATTGCAATAATGTGTTTTCAGTATAGAAACAGACCAACTTTAACATGTGTTGCTCAGTACATATACTTATGATCTTATGTATTTGAATATTTTTATTTTATTTATTTAGTCAAATGTGTTTTTATTGTTTTCAAATTAGGGCTGCGCCATATACAGAAAAAGTCACTTTGCGATTATTTTGGCAGATATTGCGATTTCAGTTGGAATGGTTGTTTTCACATTCGATTTTCACTGAAATAAATTTAAAAATGATAATGATGTGATTTTTGTTGGGTCTTTTACCAAACAATCATGTTCCCTTACATCTGGAGAATATGGTTTGTAGGCGATCTATTTGTTATTTCAATAACAATCTATTTAAATCTGAGAATGTAAAAGTGGCTCTAGTCAATATGTTTCTAATAACAATGAATCAAATGTAAAAACAATATGACAATGTGAAAAGCATCACTTGTAGTGATGAACCTTCAGGGAATTATCATCTGAATCTGCAGCTTTCTTTCTGGCTTTATAGTGAGTTTCAGCTCATTGTTTATCTGTCTGACCTCAGGGTATCTGCACGTCTTACAAAGTCTTAGAAAACATTTGAATTTTCCTAAAAAAAAGAAAAAGGTCTTAGAAGATATTAAAAAGTCTTAAATATATCATCTTGCCTGCCGTAGACAATAACAAGAACTGTACATTTTCTGTATCTGATTGCAAGCTTTTGGGAGACATTACACACGTACAAACTAAAAGTTGGATTTCATCTCTACTTGTTTTCCATCCTTCTTAATTGGTATGACCATGAAACAGGTATTAAATTGCATTCTACTTGGTATTAAAAACGTCTTTTAAAGCGTTAAATTTAACTTGGTGTACACTGCAGAAACCCTGAATCCACAACTTTACTGTTTTGGTTCTCTCTCACCTCTCTCATAGTGTTGTTTTCAGAGGAAAATGTTGTAAAAACCCCACTGTACACCACCTGCTCGGCAGCAAGCAGCAGACAGACACAGTTAGAGACTCACTGGTGAGCATAGTGGAGCATTTGGCAGCTAAAGAGCCAGAGATTTCCCTTAGGAGCTGGTGGAGACCAAACACAGAGCTAAAAGGGGAGGGAATATTGGCAGTAACATGACTCCAAATGAATGCTAATGTTACCATGTCTCCTGAATGTGTACATAAGCATTTGTTTGCCAGCACGTTCACCATATAACCTTTATAAGGTGATGATATGTGAGTGTTAAATGTATTTACAGCTTGTTCTGCTACCCCCAAGTGGCCAGAAAGATCAATAAAAACTAATCGAAAAGAAGAAAATAAGGAATATTGAATATATTAGAATATATTAAACTCAAGTGAAAGTCTGGGAAAATCTAAAAAAATATAATGCGTATAGTTGAGATGATAATTGCAGGATATTTCAAACCATTTGAGTATGTGTATAAATAATGGTAGAAAAGGTATATGGTAGAAGTGGTAGGAAACCTTCAACCCAAACATCCGTTTTCCTACTTGCATAAAGACTTTAATTGAACATTGATGACATCTATTATTCATTTCATAATTTTCATTATGAAGCAGATGTCTGTAAAGTAAAGAGTAATCCTTGGGGGAAAGGTAGAGCACTTACTGTGGCCAGTTCGTCAAACTTCCCAAAGAGTTCGTTGAGCAGTTTGACCAGTTCCTGAGCTGTACACTGAGAGGCCAAGCTGGTGAATCCCACGATGTCTGCAAACAGGATGCTGCCGGGAGAGAAAGGAAAGAAAAGAGATTTTAATCTAAAGCGAAGAGCTCGGCTCATCGTGACAGCTGATTTGAGTACTGTCTGTTCCTCGTATTCTCCAGGAAGTAAACACTGCAATTCCCGATGCAATAAAAAAAAAAAAAATGGCTAATGGCGATCAAAAGAGAAGCAAGCAGCCAGTACCATAATCCAATCCCTGATAAGTGAAAGTGTCTTTTAGGGCAACCACTAAATCAATTACAGCTAAATTACCTGCTGCTGGCTAGCCGCTGTAGTGGGGATGAGGAAGGTGTTGAAAGCTACTTATCCCCTCATTCATTTGCTCAGAGGCCGGCCAAATGGCACCAAAACAAGTTGTTATGGATCTTATTTACTCCCGGTCCACAAAAAACTGCATTTACTATGTGGAGTAAAGGCATCTGAACTTGTTGTGAGGTTGTGAGTAGAGCTGGGTAATAGTAGAAATTCTTTGATACCAGTGCTGTTATGATACCTGAGGTTGGGTACTGTTATCCAAACAATACTTTTTCAGTAGCTTACATTTTTACTACAAAAGACAAGTCTAAACAACAAATGTCTTGTCATCGTCAAGTCAAGTTATTATTATTTGTATAGCGCCAATTCCCAACAGAAGTTATCTCAAGGCACTTTTCAAATAGAGCAGGTCTAGACCTTCTCTTTATAAGCTTGACATTGGTGGTTTTGAGTCACATCTTTTTTAATGACTATTTGATGGATTGTCATGAGGTCATTAGAACAAAGATTCATGGCTCCCAGAGGATGAATCCTATTAACTTTGGTGATCCCCTGACTTTTTCTCTTGCGCCACCGTGAGGTTGGCATCTGTGGTTTTGAGTCAAATGTCTATTTGACTATTTGATGGGTCGCCATGAAATTTGATTCAGATATTCATGTTCCCCAGAAGGTGATCCCTTAACTTTTCATCAACGCCATCATCGGATCAAAATTTCAAATGCTTTAGTTAATGAATACCTGATGACAATTCCCATGAGCCCCAGCTGTCCCTCATGTTTAGAGCTAAAGTTGTTGGTTAAAGGTTGGTTACACTTCGTTCATCCAGCCATCCAGCCATCCAGCCACAACGTCCTCCATGTGAGGTTTTGTTGTGCTAAAAACAACATCACTCTACGTTTGTCTTAGCTCCTGACACACAAGAATCTAGTCCAGACATCAGCATCTGTACATGAAGTTTGCCTCAATGAAATTGTCTAAAATTGTGAAAAATTTTGCTTTAAATTCAAAGTCAAATTCATAAGTCAAATCTGACCAGACATTCAACACCAGCTTTCAGTACTTGTCAGACGTCAATACTCGGTGCTTGGGACACAATTAGGTCCCCAAAAAGCATTGAAGTTCGATCCCCAGACCTAGCTTGCATGAAGAGACCCTTCCTCTGCATCGTGACTGAGCTGCTGTTGCTCTTTTTGGCAGCACAGTATAGTTGCTCGGGAGCCTGATGTATGCAAAGCTGGGATCACGACTGCTGCTCGACAGAAGAGCTCTGTTGTGTGATTTATCTTTGAATGGTGCTGTGCTGCAGGTCGTGCTGATGTGTGGTGGGTGAGGAGGAGAAGGCAAGAGGAGGGCAGAGAGGGAGAAAGGAGGCGAGGGAGGGACACGAGAGCAGAGCGGTGGCAGAGATAAATAGGTGTGCGATCAAACGGTCTTGGGGCCACATCAAAGGGGGGCCAGATCAGGGAGATGTCACGGCCCTGCTCGGCAACATAAAGCTCATGTTCGTGTGGTTTTTGTTTTTTTTTTTACCACCATGTGTTTGGGTGTGCATGTGTGCGTTTGTAGCAGCTCCCTGGAGATGAGCGGGAGTTGGCTCGGGTGGTGCAGCAGCAGCAGCGTGATGTTTGGCTGAGTGCCAGTGCAGCAGCGAGGCCGGTGATGTTCCCAAACTGTGGGTGAGTGTGGGAGCAGAGGCAGACAGACAGACTGAGAGAGAAGCAGACGGAGAGTGGAGAGGATTGTCTCTTGACAGGAGTGCTGTTGACATGCTACCTAGCCCTCCACTCCCACTCTCAGCAGCTCTGATACAGCTCTACGTTTCTCTTTCCTGCCTCGTTGGAACGCAATCAGCTCAGAGTCACGCCGGGTTCTCACGCTCGCTAATATTCTCTTCATTACAAGTGCAATAGAGGGGGCTGCTGAATAGGCTGGAAAATTCACAAGGACGGGGCTGCAAATAATGATTGTTTTCATTACTGATTGCTGATTTTTTCTTTTCTTAAACCAATCAGTTAATTAATTAATTGTTTACTATATAAAATGTCAGAAAAGACCTTCCTCAAATTTCTTTGTGTGATCAACAGTGAAAAACCCGAAGATATTCAACTTACAACAGTGAAAAACAGGAAAATCTCCCATTCAACAGTTTTGAAGCTGTGAATGAACGTGTCACTTTTTCTTAATTAAAGAATAAACAATCAGAACAGTTTAACAGCTTATTTCTGTCAATCATCTAAAACACAGCAGGGCTGCAACCAACAGTTATTTTGATTGTCACTCTTTCGATTACTTAATGATCAATTGGTTTATTGTTATTTATCCATAAAATGTAAGATTATATGTTTATATTATTATAATTTCAGAGCCTAAGGTGTTCACATTACTCGTTTTGATTGATCAACATCTGAAGAGATTAAATTGACAGTGTCATAAAATAGAGAAAAAAAACACAGGTCCTTGCATCTGAGGTGCTGGAACTAGCAAGTGTTTGATAAGAATGTTTGTTACACCAATGAATTAAACCATCAGCTTTCATTCAAAAGATAGATTAATCAACTAATAGTTGCACCACATGAGCATTTTCTGAACTGCATCAACTTTCATACTCCACTACTGTTTATTGACACTAGTTTTAAACAATAAAGAGATCAACTTTAACAGAGATTCCCTCTCTGAGTATCATCAAACTCTTCAGAAATATGCCCTGTAGCTGATTCTAAACACTGACTTAACACTATTAACTATTAACTACTATTATTTTTGTAGCACTGACTCTTTGGTTTCTCCATACTGTAGTTCCTGTTCCCTCCGGTCTGATATCATTATGTAGAGTCTGCAGTCATGATAACAACCTGCAAAAGTTACAAAAGCTGCAAAATGACAATCTCCATTTCAGTCCAAGAAAAAAATAAATTATCTGATCATGTTGTCCTTAAATGTATTTTTTAAACCCTGTAGCTGCTTCTCCTCAAACTTTTGGATGTGATGAAATCATGATGAAAAGATGGAAGGGACAAAAATGTAACCAGCCAATCATATCAGTGTTTGAACAATGTCATAAACACCCTGTTTAATTAGAGCTGCTAATTCAGCAGTGACAACCAGTGTCACCAGTGGCTTATAGACATACAACATAACAGTCTGCATGTCACTGGTAATTCCACTGAGGAGTGGAAAGCTCCAGAAAGAGATAGTAAGGAGACCTTGATTTAAGAGGATTTTATCAAAGACAGTACCTCCTTTTGGCTGCTCTAATAAAACAACATTCTCAGGGGTTTAATATTTGATAATTAAATCTTATTGCAGTCACTGCTGTGTTTCTGAAGCAGACGTAAAGATCTGTTTCCAAAATAACAACAACACAAACATGAGCTGAGCCAGAGGAGACGGCCATTTTTAAATCTGCTGGTTGTGGTGACACTCGCTCCGTCCCTTCTCTCTTTCTAACCTTTACATAGTTTGATTGCATCAGCGTTAATGGCTAATCTTAATTGCTCTCCTTCTATTCTTGACCTTGACGTCACAGCAGGTGACACCTGGATCAAAACACTCCAGCCCCTCCGCACAACTCTGCGCTCCACAGTTGTCATGACACCACTGTACCTGACATTGTCATGACGTTGGATGTAGATCTTGTGAAAGATCCTCTCAGGTGGCTTCAGGAAGTCCTCCTTCATCTCCATGGCAACATTCCTGGGCAGTAGACTCATTAGCAGACGCTCCTGAGGAGGGAGGGGTTAAAACAGAGGAGACGGCAGTGTTATAAAGTTTGTAGGTCGGGACATAAATGTTCATAGTGTGAGTTTCAATTCATGCAGGCATAAACAAATATAAACAAATTGCTCTATGCTTCCATGAAAAGATGAAACAATGAAATTGATCAAAAAGTTTTGTCGTCGATTGATCATTGAAGCCCTTTTTAAGCAGAAATATCAAATATTCACCGATTAAAGCCTCTAAAATGCATTTTAAACTAAATTTATACTGAAATGATTAGTCAGTTAAGCGATTAATAAATTAATAGAAAATTAATTAACTATTTCAAACTATCAACTGTGTCATTTTTCAAGTTCAATGCAAAAATTGACCTGGTTTCAGCTTTTAAAATGTGGCGATTTGCTCCTTTTTTTCATCTTTTCTGACACTAAACTGAATATTTCTGTATTTTGAACTGTTGGTTGACAACAACAAATAGACTGAGGATATCACCTTGGGTTTAAGGAAATTTTGACCGACATTTGTTTCACAATTTTCTGACATTTTATAGAACAAAACATAAGGAAAATACTTGTCAGATCAATCGATCTGCACTAAACTGAATATTTTGAAGTTTTTTTTAGTTGTACTGTCAAGAAAACAAAAAAATTAAATTTGTCTCTTTTTAACTCTCATAAAAGGTATTGATTGATTATCTGATGTGAGTGATTACTGAGGATCAGTAATGAATCAATTATGACAAAAATCATTATTTGCAGCCCCAATTAAGGCTGCAAAAACTGAGGGTATTAGATTTATTTAATGAGTAGATGACGGAGTTAAGGCCTCAGCTTGAATAATTAATCTCTTTCTTTTTTTCTGTTAATTGATAGTTTAATCTGTAATATATATATATATGTGTGTGTGTGTGTGTGTGTGTGTGTGTGTGTGTGTGTGTGTGTGTGTGTGTGTGTGTGTGTGTGTGTATTGAATTGTGAATACAAGTTTTCAGAGTCCAAAGCCCTAAGAGATTCATTTGATAATGATATAAAACAGTGAGAAACAGCAAATCTCTGAACCTTATCACCACTCTACAATACTGATATTGGTTGATTTTGCAAAACCTCAGATTACATTTGCTTTACATCTAGTGTGAATGTTTTTAAAATTCTGACTTTGTACATGGCCGCTAAGATATTGTTAAGGTGGACAGTAGTTGTGGAAAATAAACTATGGTTCTGGTATGGTAAGGATTAGGCAACTAAAAAACTCAGTTAAGGTTACTATGCATTGGCATTAGGTGTAAATTGTAAGGTGCAGAATCTTCCAATATGAATGTAATTCGTAGGAATACTGGGCTGAAAATGAACTTACTGAATTAATCACTTATCAAAATTGTTGTCAATTAATTTCAGTCAAAGCAATTCATGAACTAATCCTTTCAGCTCAATTTGTATCCACTTAGATCAGCGTATTTGTGTGTGTGTGTGTGTGTGTGTGTGTGTGTGTGTGTGTGTGTGTTGTGTGTGTGTGAGAACAGTCTCTGTTGCAGCAGCAGTGTCACTCCTGATCCAGGATGAGCAGGATGTCAAATGTCTGTGAATGCACAATGAATCATGAGGCGGCTCTGCTCAACAGCTGTTGAGAGGCAGGGTTATCAAAGCAGCCGGGGCTTCTCCTGTGTCTCCCTCCAACACTGTTTTCACTTCATACATCCATTCATACAACAGCGCCTCACCTGCAAATAAAAAGCTAAAGTGGAGAGCAGCTTTTAGAAAGAGCCATCACACCTACTCACGGTGGATGTGTGTGAAAGTGTGTGTGTTCGCACATGCTTGTGCTTGTGTTTCGCCTTTTGCACGCATATATACGTGTGTGTCAGGTGTGGAAATCGCAATAACCAAAGTGTGAAGGTGTGGTTGCTTGAGTAACATAATTCATGCATCCGCTTTATTAACCTGGTCCATGAACATGTTCTAATGGCACTTTTACGATTCTCATTTCTCTGATCTGTCCCAGGCTCACTTCACTGTGAGCTTTTGTGTGACTGTGGTGGTTTATTGATGAAGCGTTGGCTCATTTTCTCTCACATTAACACACTGATCCTCCATCCTGCAGTTTAACAAGAAATTCCCACAAAAACTTTGCATCTATGACATGAGCAACTTGAAACTGAAGGAATCCAACTTGTTTGCACAAAAACTAACACTCACTCAATGAAGAGGAAGAAAAAGTTTTTCTTTTTCTTTAAACTTATTCCTGTCATGAGAAGACGGCAATAACACAGTCAATTTAACATGTAGCACTTGTTTATGAAATCCAAACTAAAATAGAAAAAGACAGGATGAGGAGAAGAGAAGAACTCTGCATGATGACATGTAATATGACTCGTTACTAGAAGTGTGATATATAGATCAAATCCACTTTACATTACTCTATATTTTAGCAAATCCATTAAATAAAATAACAGATAAATCAAAGTATTTCAGCATATTGATGTTTTTCCATAAATGATTCCTGCTTATTGATTTCCAACATCGTCCACACAGCCAGACGATAAAAGTGATAACTACCTTGGTATAAAAGGTAGAGGAAGATCTTTGGGAGGTAGGGGGAAGATACAGTATGTGTTGTATTATTATCAACCCTAATGGTGACAAATCCTCCTTAATAAGGAGAAACATATACAAAAAGTAAGAGGGAAGCTTAACGGCTTTTACTGAACCGGACACAAACAGGGCCACATGGACGGAGTCAGTCCCTGTTAATTTATGATGGAAATGTCTGAAAAAAACCCATTTATAACCTGTATGTACAGTAAAGAGAGAAGGTACTCTTTTTCCGCCATTTTGGGGGGAAGTTTAAGACGCTGAGAATTGGTCACCGGACGAACTTGGGTGACCAAACTGATTCATTTGACCATGTGGTTTTAAATTTGACTGACTCGAAAGTTCCAAATCTCCAGATACAAAATAACTGGTTTAATTGAATGTTATAAGTCCAGTCAGATGAACATATGTTATCCAGGGTCAACATGGGAGAGGTTGGGGAGATTTCTTGACTGTTCTCACCAGAAAAATGACTTTGTTCAAACTCATAAAATGACCTGTTTAAATATGAAAGTTAATTCTTGAGCTTGGAAACATCTTAACATTCAACTCACTTTCAAACACTTGCTAAAATAGCTTTTTCCAAAGCTTTCGACCGAAGTTTACGGACTTCATCAAATGGAGTTAGCTCTGGAAAAAGCTGGTAAGTGGACCTTAAGTAGTACTTAACTTCTGGATCGTCTGAATAATGACTGCTTTCTCAAAACCAAAGACGGAAATACATGTGTTACAGTGTGAGGAGACCTCTTTGGGAAGGGAACGGGGTAACCCTCCATTAATGCCTGACCTTTACCACTTCTTACCCCCACAGGTGTCGGATCACAGAGCGCTCGTGTGGATGGCTGTTTGTAAGGATCATTGTTGACTCTGGGAACAGCAGTTTGACGAACCAATCCCAACTCGAGGTCCACAAAGTAGCTTTCATCCATATTACACAGTCTTCATCAGCAGATGAAGGAGTTCGCTCACTTGTTGTTGAGATGTTGATGAACTCACCCCCAAAAAAGCAAGTAAGTGGACTTTGAATTGGGGATTATTTTGTCAAAACTGCTGACAGGGTTTAAAGGTTCGGAAAATGCTAATAAGTCGACCTTGTATTGATATTTAGTTTCAGATACATTGCCCACCTGTTTTGTCATTTAGATATTCAAACTTTTTGGAGATGTAATGATTTTTAGAGGAACGTCACATATGGAACAGAGGTTGTGTTGAGTTTTTGCCCTGATAACTGTTTCTGCTTAACACGAGTCACAAGAGAAAACTGCTCGTTGCCTCTGGGTGCTGAGATTGCTATTGAATCGGGAAGTCAATTTCCCACCCAGACATACAGCACATAGCCTACACGTTTGGCAATCAATACAACCTATGGATCCAGCCCACAGCAAAAACCAGAGCAAACACCCGGGTGATAACCAGCGACCTGTTTGATGTCTGAAATTTAAATCTGAGACATTTGTGTTCGTGGGCACATCGGTGACGGTGACGGTGGCGGCGTGCAGCAGCCTGCTTGCGGGCCGTTGGCTGGCTGCTGATAGATCTGAATCATGGGTCTGTGTGTGTTTCTCTCACTCTGATAAACTGTGACCTTTACTGGAGTAGGGAGGCCATGAAAGCAATCTGCTTGTGTAATTACCTGTCAGAAGGGAGCCTGTTACTGCCGGGGAAAACACAGCATATCATCATCTAATCTACAAAGCACAGGTGCTAAGTGTGTATGTGCGCTCGCCCAGCCCTGTGTGCATGAAGGTGACACATGTATGAAGGCACATTACATACATGGGATAATTAATTCTCCGTTAAACAACCGGTGTAGGTGGCGTTTCGTGCACACAGTGGGTGAAGAGGGTGTGGTGTGTAACAAAGTGTCTCTGTGGCGAAGTTGCCTGATTGTTGCTTGGTTAAATTGCTGCATGTAGGTGTGCACAGAGGGGGTGGAATGTGTGGCGCTGGTGCATGTGCCACAGTAATTGTTCTTTCCTTAAATAGCTGCTGTCATAGTTACTGCGTGCCTGTGGGCAGGTTGTTAGAATACATTGGCACCTGAAACCTTTAAAAAACTTCTCAAGAGACTGTGAAGATTTCATGAACACACGCATTAAAGATGATGTGTGAACGCATGTCATCGTCTTACACTATTTTTTTTTTTGTTGTTGTTGTTGCTGTTTTCTACCAACCCGTGTGTTTATGTTTGTGTGTGTGTGTGTGAGTGTTTGTGTAAATTCACACCTCACCTGTTTCTCATTCTCGTCCTCCAGCCTCAGTCTCTCCTCGATGCAGTTGCGGGCCTGCAGGAAGACTTTCCTCTGGGTGCGCTCGGTGAGAATCCTCACAAACACCCCCGACAAGTTGACGCTGGTGAACAGCACCGCGTTGGCCACCAGCTGCACACAAACAAGAACAGACATGCCAAACACAGCTGGCAGCGACTACACACTGTATGTGCATGTGGGACTGAAGGAACACACACATACGTGTCCGTACTGTACATATATGTGTGTTTTCATGAGTGCAATCATACATCCTGGCTAGATTAGTCTTCGCAATCCTTGATTAATCCATAGGATGGATTGAACGACAGACATTAAGGTCGGTACGTGGATTACAACATGAATTCTAGGTGTGACCTGAAACAACAAAAGCTATACAGTGGAACGACTGGCAGACAAAGTGCATTACTGATCAATGATCAGAGACTATTGATCCTGCCGGACACTTCATTTGGAGGATGAGCTCTGTGGCCACTCTGTGTCGTCAATTCCAGGAGGGTCAGAGGTGAAAGGTCAGCGAAACACTCTAATCCAGCATAGACAGATGGATGGAACTCTCTCTGTTGTGACCAGCAAAAAAACAAAAAAGAAAAAAAAAAACATCACCTCCTCAAAACAGGTCTTCACTCCGCTCAAGAAAAAGATCATCCTTTGGTTGAACTGGTCACTTCTGCTGATTGAAGGGTCATGAGTAGGTGTTGCTTTGTTTCAAGGGCTTACATTGCTGCAGTGTATTACTACCAATGAATACAGCCTGCCAAACTACAGCAGCACTTCCAAATTTGGGGGCTCTGAGACCACCAAGATAAATTTCTGAGGTTGTCAGTAAACAACAGAAAAGCAGAATAAAAAAATGTGTCTGCTACACAAAATTACATTTATTTTTCTTCCCTTTATCAAATTTTACTAGTGAGTAAATTAAAAATTCAAGAAGTGACATATGTACCTCTGAGGAGATCACAATTTTCCAAAGCTTCGTTTTAAGGGGCCAAAAAGTTTTGGAACCACCTTCTAATAAAGATGTAGATGTTGCACAACTCAGAAACCAGACGTGCTGGCAGCTTAAAAACTAAAGCCACTGCTTCTCCCTACAATCTGGGCACAGGGACCAGTCCAGGATCAGGAGTAAGGCGTGTGTGAGGCTCTGCAGAAACCCTCGCCGCCTGTTTCAGCACCGGCAGCTGGACAGCTCCTCGTCTGCTTCATTACACTGGTGCGCAAACGTGAAACTTTGTGCTCGTTTCCAGTTTTTACAGCTCCAGTATCCTGCAGCTAAAATCGATCACCGAGGGTGTTTTCACCTTGTCTTCTATATGGGAAGTCGGATGAGTGAGAGTGCTGCCTCTCAGCATCACTTTACATTCATACATTGGTTCAGAGCCCAGCTGGGAGCTTCCCAGTGCACCTACAGGAGAAGTTGCTCACTGTACCTGGACTGTAGCGGCAGCCCGCTACCTGTTCGATGTGCTGGTGGATTAAGTGAAACATGTGGCTGTTATCCATAGCAGGCTATAGAGTTGATTGTGTGAAAGACCGGGATGCAGTTGCAGCACTTACCGGTCTCCACAGCTTCTGCTTTCTTCCCGTGATCGATGTCGCTATGACAATGAAGTGGGACGCAGCCAGCATCACCCCAAACAGCACGGCCATCAGCGTCCGCACCGGCAGCAGAACGTAAGCCACGAGGGTGACCAGCATGAGCTGCCACACGCCTTGCTCAGGGGCAGCGGCGCTCACCAGCTCCGACGTGCCGAGCGCCAGCGGGAACGGGCAGCAGAGCAGCGCAAAGGTGAAGCTGAACAGCAGGGCCAGCTTCGCGATTTGCTGCAGCTGCGTCACCTGCAGGTATTTGACGTTGGTGACGATGAACAGCGACAGGAACACCACGCAGTGCACCGGGTAGGAGCCCTTGGACAAGGTGAGACGCGGGCTGGACAGCAGCTCCACCAGTGACAGCGACGAAGCGGCCACGATGAGCACCGCCAGCGCCTTGAGGGTGGCGGTCTGCTCCAGCTTCAGGTTGTAGTTCTGGAACAGAGCCTCCAGCTCCTGGCTGTTGAACTCGTCCTCGCAGGCGATGGCGCCCAGGGGTGCACCGGCCGGGCAGTGACCCTTCCTCCGCCGGGTCTTGACTCTTTCGAATGGCATCTCCTCCATGTTCCGGCCATTCATGAAGCGGGAATGGCGCACGACCACCCCCCCTCCCCCCTCGCCCCCCTCAACTTTTCAGTTCCTCTCCTCCGTTAGGGAATCGAACCCTCGGCACCCTCTCCCAGCACATGCGTCCTCCAGGCTGTGTCCGCGCGGCTCGGGGCTTGGTGTATGAGGGGAGAGGGTGATGTGGAGGAGACGCGCTCTATCCACAGGTTGACGGTTGTTGGTGTGTCGTCAGAAAAGTAGCCCGACCAATGTGCAGCACGCCTCTCTCTCTCTCTCTCTCTCTCTCTCTCTCTCTCTCTCTCTCTCTCTCTCTGCCCCCCCCACTCCCTCTCCCTCTTGCTCTCTCTCTCTGCCACCCCCCCCTTTCCCTCTCTCTCGGACCACCTGCGGTGCCTCAGACCGGGTTGCCGGTGATCTTGCGCTCCAACAGGAATCATAGGAGGGATCACGCTATGTTGATAATCCAAAAAACTCATCACATAATTTTACTATCTTTTCTGCCCCCCCACCACTACCACCACCAGCCCAAACACACACACACACACAGTACATATCTGATTCTGTGCTCCGTCTCCCTCTCCCTGCTTTAATTCGCTCCAGTGAAATGTCAGTGGTTGGGTGAAGACAGCAGCAAAACAAGCGCTGGTGATTTCCCCTCACTGTGTCTGCAGTCAGAGCTGATGTAGTTCCCGGCTAAAAATAGACCAGCTGCACCGGTGGATGGTCCAATATAGCAACAATTTGGTCTTTCCCGCGTCTCTTCTCCTCATAGGTTTTTATTGCAGAATCAAGTGCTCATTTCACACCGAGAATTAACAGAGGAAACGTTAAAGAGAGAGGGAGAGAGAGGCAATGGTCCTGCAGGGAGATAAAAATAGCGACTCTTCCTTAATTAACAGAGAAAACGTGAGTGATGTCGCGCATCTTAAAATGTGATACACCATTGTTGTGGTTAATGCATGTTGTGTGCATTTGCATATTTTGTGCATGTATATGTGCATATGTTGTTTATATATACGTTTTATGCTCTAGGTCGTTTAACGTGTGTTTAATATGAGTTTTAATTTTTACATCACTCACACTCACACGGATAAAATCGTTATATTGATAGAATAACTAAAGGTAGCAAATTCCAAATGAAAATGCGACTCAATATGCCACTGGCAAATTTAAACAAGAATTATTGTGTAGAAGTGTGAATTAAGATGGGGAATAAGCAAAAGGTACAAAACAGCAGCAGCTGCATTAGTAGAAATGCAGTCTACAATAATTAACATGAAGAAAAGTTAATTAAAACATGACATATATAGAATATATTATGATATCCATACAATGTGCTGTTATTCAACTTTAGAGGAGTCCTACAAAATGGAAAGTGTTGACCTGTATGTATGTACATGCTATGTGCAGTGCTTTTTCTGCATGTCAGTCTCATATCAGGTTATTTAATGGAAGATTAATGAGTTTTCATCTGAAGTTTAAATTTGGTAATTGCAATAGTAACTGAAGAGGCTTACTGAAGAGAAAATGTTACGTATAAACATGCAATATGGAAAAATAAACATCAGAAAAATATCATAACTCATGGATGCAGAAATGCATCGGCATAAAAAATGCCATACAAGGAGAGGCTTTAAAAAATAAAATGTGTAATTAATGAGAATACACATCAGAGTGAAAAAAATGAGATTTAAGTGTAAAATATACAGATATAGTTCACAGCAGACGTCTTTAGGACATCAGAAGCTCTATGGATGATTCACAATGCAAAACATTTACATACATGTAAATTACATTTGATTTATTGATCATCATGTTAATCATCTTATCATAACTTGATCCAGAAAAGTTACAATGTGTTAAGTTCATGTGCATCATTGATTGATCTATTCTCAATGTCACCATCACAGTTATAACATATTAAAGTTGCAGATTTAGGCATTGAGCATGTAATAATAATAATAAAAATAATCTTAATTTGTATAGCATTCATAGGAATGTGAATCACCAGATTAACCTGTTTTAACTCTTTTAACTCCCCATCTCCTAAACTGGGATATGATCTGACCCCAGGTGTGCTGTGTGTGCTCATGTAGGAATATGCATCAGTATCAGTTGAAATATTGACCATTTTAGAACTAGAGTCTTTGTTTTCATTACTGTTCATGTTTTTATTAAGACCTTTGTAATGTGTAGCATGCTGAAGGATTAGCAACCACTGCAGCTGAAGCTAATGCGGTTCCAGTGAAATAAATAAATGAACCTGCTTCACGTCAGCATCTATTGTGTTTTGGTTGTGTGTATTCTGATATTCACAAATACAATTACAGTTAAACACATTACTACAAAACAACAGTAAAAATGGGGGGGGGGGGGGGGGGGGGGGTCCTGCATCAGTACCTGTTTTTACAGACGTGTTGTGTGACGTCTCCTCCTCAGAGCTTTACGTCAGTCTTAAGTGTCCGATGAGACAGGAGGCCAAAAATAACAGGCTTTTAAAATCTCAAATAGCTCCTCGTCAGGGCACACACGCATCTTCACAAGACAAATGCAAGGGTTTCGGTGCCCTGCTCAGGACCCGTGTTTTTTTTTTTTTTTGTTGTTGTTTTTTTGTCGTCTTCTTTTTTGTAGTTGCTCGTTTGCCTCAGATCACTAAGATCTGCGCGAACGTCAATGGACTGGCTCATCGATGAAGAGGTCAATGCGAAGCACTTTGGACCCTCTAAACAAAAAAGTCTCCACACGTACACACTCAGTTACTATGTGGTCAATATCCCCTATCATCCAGCTTGTTTTAAAATCAATAGGCTGCAGAGTCGAGATCACAACAGTAAGAAGAGAGACATTCTGACTCCCCCATCTGAGGGGGGGATTAATAAGATTTTGTCGAGTGGTTCTGCTAACAGGGTGGAAAGAGCTCACACACTCTGCTGTACAGTTAGTCTGAAGATTTTAAGCTCCAGGCTCGTCTATAAACCTCTTCATGGTTGATATGCTGCAGAGATGTGTCCCCGATAGAGCTCCTCTCTGCCGCCCTCTCAATATAAGTGAATGGCAAATAACATGTGAGAAAACCTTTATTGGCTCTGTTTGCAAAAACTTCCCTGATCATCAAAGAAAAACTGTTATCAATGAGAGATAATGGCAACACTTTGTTTCAACCCACTATTTATCGTTTATATACAGGTAACAGACGCTTATTAGGCATTTATAAGACATTATAACGTGATTATAAGCAGATATAAGGCCATTGTTCCTATTTATAGGGAGGAGTTATGTTTGAAAAAGTCCTTACGAAGAGTCCAAGTCATGACGTCACGTGCAGGTTATCTTCTATTCCACTACTCTCTGTAACACATTCAGCATTTGTCTTTATGAAAAGAAGTTCCCATGTTCTAAGACAATTTGGCATCAATGTTAAGGCCTGTGCTAATAGAGATTGAAAGCAGAATGAAACTGAAAGTTAAACAAGATAAACACTCACCAACACTCTTCTACAACCATTCATCAACTTTTTAGTTGCTGTGCTTTAAAAAAAATTTTACACAAGCTATAGTTTTGTTATTCTCTGTTAACACAGTAATCGTTGTTTAACTTAAACTCAAAGGTTTCACTTTCTGATTTGTCTGAGAGTGTGGACAATGAACCGCAGGACCAAGCTTTATTTTGAAAGATGTGTTGTACTCAGCTGCAGAAGCGGAAGTGGAACAGAGGCCACAGTATAGTGTGTTATAAACCATCTGTGTTTTCCTGCATCAACAGATCAATCTCTAATTCACAATCATTTAAACAGAAGACCAATTCAGCAGCTCAAACAATCGAAGAGCAACAGTCATGAACCAAATGACTGAGACTAATACACTGTGTCATATGACTTGAAGGGCTTTAAAAACCACCTTGAAATCAAAACAAATGCTTGTCTAAACAAGCAGTTTCACCACATATTACCAGGACATGTGGCATAGTGAGTATTTTTAATTATATTAATAATTTATTAACATTTACATTTTTAGAAAAATGACCAATATTTCACTTTAAATGTCCATATTCCTCATTTATTAATCAAAATTCATTATCAGTCACGAAATCTGTCCTAACTCACGCTCCACTCAGTAGCTTTTCCTGGAGCTTTCAACCACTTAACATGGTTGTCGCTGAATCAAATGGATTAATACTGTTTCCAAGATCAAGGATGAGCCTGAATTAGTTATATACAATCATGCTCATGGTGTGTGTGTGTGTGTGTGTGTGTGTGTGTGTAATAGTATATTTTGCATGTTACTTTATTATGGACAAAAAAAAAAGACTTTGAATTGAAGTGATTTGAGGACAGAAAGATGAATTGATGAATCACCTCTTTTTTGACGTTGCTGTACCCGTCAGTTCAGTTATCTGCCTTCTGTGTTGAGTTATTTATCTCCTGATGTAAAACACTCGGTGTGTGTCTGGTTCTATATGGATCAACCCGTCCACTTAAACTGCATTCAGTTGTTTTGGAACATAAGACTCTGCATTATTCTCCATCTCCACATCATCATGCTCACTGCCTCATCCAGTGAGTCTCATCTTTCCTGTTCAGCATCTTACACATGAAGTGAAGTGATACACACAGACACACACACACACACACACTCACACACACACACACACAGAGTGGATCCATTTCCCTCTCTCCTGAAGTAAGTGACAGCTGCAGATTTTTGGACCATCCCTCCCTCCAGGATGCCTGACAGTCCCCCCGTTGCCATGGCAACAGAAGCAGTAAGGCTAGCAGTTGTGACTGATATGCTGCTGAGGTGTTTCCCAATCTGACACCCTGGATCCCTCTCTCCATATTTTGTCTCTCTCTCTCTCTCTCTCTCTCTCTCTCCTCTCTCCTCTCTCTGACTCTCTTTCAGGTGGTTTGAGATGATGAGTGCAGCTGATGTGTTTGTATCTGTCTGCGCCGTGGTGACACAGCACCCTGCCCTGCCAACTCATTGTGCTCACTGACATTTCTCCAAATTGAGGCT